CAGTCAATCCTAAAGGAAATCAGTCCTGGGTGTTCATTGGAAGGACTGATGCTGAAGCTGAAACTCCAATCCTTTGGCCACCTGATGTGAAGAACTGACTCACTGGAAAAGATCTTGATGCTGGGAAAGAATGAAGGCATGAGGAGAAGGGATGACAGAGGATGAGACAGTTGGATGGCATCATTGACTCAATGGTCATGAGTTTGAGCAAACTCTCGGAGTTGGTAAAGGCCAGGGAAGCCTGGTGTGTGGTAGTCCATGGGGCTGCAAAGAGTTGGACACAAATGAGTGACTGAACTGAGAACACATACCATTTTAATAGGCTTTTGTAAAAGAGACTGAAGAACTACCTGGGAAAATTCCAAAAGGCTTATTATCACAGGAAGATCACCTAGTTGATAGGTAAAAACATAAGGCTTCACCAATAAAAGAGTAAGTGAAGATGGTGCATGCTAAGTCACTTCTGTCCTGCCAACTCTTTGTGACCCTATTGAGTGTAGCCTGCCAGGCTCCTCTGTCCATGGGATTCTCCAGGCAAGAATACTGAAGTGGATTGCTATTTCCTCCTCCAAGGGATCCTCCTGACCCAGGGATCCAACCTGTATCTCTCTCTTACATCTCCTGCATTGGCAAGCAGCTTCTTTACCGCTAGTGCCTCCTTGGAAGCCCAGTAAAGATGGTGCCTCTATGGAAATACACTTTAAGGTGAAAGTACAATCACTTATTTAATCGGAAACGTGCTTCCCTGATAGCTCACAGGTAGAGTCCACCTGCCATGCAAGAGACGTGGGTTCAATCGTGGGGTCAGGAAGATCCCCTGGAGAAGGAAATGGTAACCCACCCCAGTATTGCCTAGGAATTCCCATGCACAGAAGAGCATGGCTGACTACAGTCCACGGGGTCATGAAAGAGTCAAACACAACTTAGCAACTAAAGAACAATGATTGGAAAAACGTTTATAAGGTTGCTTAGGATGGGGTAAGTTGTAAACCAGTGATGTGGAAAACAAGAAAAGGCTTTATTGTTTATAGTTGTTGTAATGTGTGAATAGTTTATTAGCCTTAGGAAAATACGGAATTTACACCTAGTACAACTTTTGAGTAAACAAAAAATATACTTATCTCAAATTTAACATGATTGAAACAAGACTCATGGTAGGTGAGTCCTGTACACATTTCTTGGCCCTTAAAGGAAGCTAGGAGGGACCCAAAGCCAGGTCCCTACGGATGTCAGGTACAGCTATTTTTCTGGGCGTGGGGGGCCAGTCCCCCAGGGAAAACTTTTTCACCTAGCTGAACTCATTTTCAATGAACTTGTAGGGCAACAAAAATATTATTAACTCATAAAATAAACTCACATGAAACCAATAAACCAATATCATTCACTTGAGTGCCAAGTAGAAAGCTCTTATTGCATTTTAAAACTCAACACATATTTGTACCTTATTAACATATATCCTACATGCAGGTCAGGAAGCAACAGTTAGAACTGGACATGGAACAACAGACTGGTTCCAAATAGGAAAAGGAATACGTCAAGGCTGTATATTGTCACCCTGCTTATTTAACTTATATGCAGAGTACATCATGAGANGACTCATTGGAAAAGACCCTGATGCTGGGAGGGATTGGGGGCAGAAGGAGAAGGGGACGACAGAAGATGAGATGGCTGGATGGCATCACCGACTCGATGGACATGAGTTTGAGTAAACTCCAGGAGTTGGTGATGGACAGGGAGGTTGGCGTGCTGCGATTCATGGGGTCGCAGGGAGTCGGACACGACTGAGCGACTGAACTGAACAGAACATATATCCATCCATGAAAAAGTATTTGGAGTACAGGTTAATTCATCAACAATGTTTCTCTAGAAAACAAAACAAAACCTTGTATACAAAACAAACTGTGCTTCCCTGGTGGCTCACTGGTAAGGAATCCGCCAGTCAACGCAGGTGACATGTGTTAGATCCCTGGTCAGGGAAAATCCCACAAATGCCCAGCAACTAAACCCATGGTCCACAACTATTGAGCCTGTACTCTAGTGTCAGGGAGCCGCAACTACTGAAGCCCTGGAGCCCTAGAGCCTGTGCTCCTGTAACAAGAGAAGCCATGAAGTGAGAAATCTGGCCATCAGAACTAGAATAGCAACCCCTCGCAGCAAGAAAGACCTAGCACAACCCGAAATAAACAAACGAACATAATATATGGCACAGGGAGCTATATTCTATAACTTCTAACAAGCTGTAATGTAAAATAATTTGAAAAAGAATATATATAACGGAACCCCTGTGCTGTACACCTGAAACACTTAAAAAAAATTTTAAAGAAGACACAGACAAAACCTGTAACCTTTTTTTTTAAACCGGCTTAGTATTATCTGTTTTACTCCTAAGCACTTTAAACATTTCGGATTGTGGGTGGGAATAAGGGCGAGGAAATGCACTGGTTCTGGTCCCGGGGCAAAGGTTTCTTAAAGTTACTTATAGTTACTTATAGATTATTTTGGACGTGGCTCAAGATTACATGTGACCACAGTGCCCGAAAACGCCGGGGGAAAGCTTTTCACCCGGCGAAGCGACGGACGCGGGGAGCAAATTGGCCCGGTGAAGGCGGGGGGACGACAGTAACGCCCATTAGGGAGCCGCCCAGGGTCTACCGCCCAGATTACCCACTTCGCCCCAAGGGAACTGGTCTTCAGGGCTCGGGGCAAAGCGACCCCAGCCCCCTGCCGCCCAGAGCCACGTGCGTCGGGCGCCCCGCCCCTCGCTCATTGCCGGCCGAGCATGGCGCAAGCCAGTTGCGAGTCACAGAGGCCTGGTGCGCGCCCCGCCCCTGGGCCCGTAGCGGCGGCCCGGGAGCCGGGGAATCGCCCTGTTCGCCCTCCTTTCCCCTCGGCTGGCCGCTGGGGCGGGGCCGGCCCTCAAGCAGGGCGGCACCGAGGCGGGCTCGTCGGCCACCCACCGCGGGCGGCGGCCCGGCGAGGTCCGGAGCCGGTGAGTAGCCACGTCACGCTCCTCCGGGAGGCCCCGCCCTCGCCCCGTCCTCTCGGGCCGCCCCCTTTCCCGGCCCCGCCTCCGCCCCCCGCGAGCAGTTACCGGCTGTGGTAGCGCGCGCCTCTCCGACGCTGCTAGAGGTCCTCAAGCCTCGGTTTGCGGCGCTTCTGCCTCAGCCCTCGCCGGCTGAGGGCTCGCGGCTCCGGCTGCGAAGCCCGGCGCGTGTTGGCAGGCTCGGGGAATAAATGTTTATTTTGAAATGAGGTTAACAATAAAAAGAACTTTCAGACCCTCAGAACTAGGAAAAAATACATAGTCTGACATTTCATTTTCTACATTTTAACATCTCTGAAAAGAAAACTAATCCTAAAATCAGTATCAGGTGACAATTTTAATGGCAACATTCCACTGTAATGGTTTGAAAGATAATGATGCATCTCAAAACTGATGGCATCTTAGAGTTGGTGAAATACTGTGTAAAAGCACTTGGTGCATGGTATATAAGGCTCATATAAGTTAACTATATCAGGCTTATAGTTAACTTATGTGCTAAGTCGATTTGGTTGCGTCTGACTCTTTGCAATCTATGGACCACGGTCTACCAGGCTTTTCTGTCCATGGGATTCTCCAGGCAAGAATACTGGAGGGGGTGGCCATGCCCTCCTCCAGGGGATCTTCCCAACCCAGGCACTGAACCCGGGTATCTTACGTCTCCTGCATTGGCAGGAGGGTTCTTTACCACTAGCACCATATGGGAAGACCAATAGTTAACTTATTCTTAACTCATTTTTGTATCTCCAATACTAGCTCAATGAATCTCACATTAGTTAATAAATGTTCACTGAGTGAATTTCTACAGGATGTAACCTCAAACTTTGTACATCTAAAGCCAAACATATTATGTTCCTTTTAAAACTACCTCCTTTTCCACAAATTTCCTTTTATGGTCAAAGGTACCATCATTCTGCATCATGCTGACTTACAAACTCTATCTTTATTTCTTGACCTTTCCCTTAATCCAGTTTAGGTACTAGATTATGTCAATTCTTCCTTTACAGTCTCCTTTAAGATTTGTCCCTTCAATTTTTCATACCCCTTAATCTCTGATAGTGATTCTCAGACTTTTTGGTCTCAAGACTCTTTACATTCTTAAAAATTAGAAGATCCCCAAAAGGTTTTGTTTATCTGGTTTATAGCTGTTGATATTCACCATATTAGAAATTAAAACTAGGAAATTTTTTAATGTTTAGTAACTCATTTAAAAAATAAACTCATTACATTCTAACCATAAATGAAATATTTTATGAAAAGTAACGAGAGGTCCTCAAGCCTTGGTTTGCGGCGCTTCTGCCTCAGCCCGCGCCGGCTGAGGGCTCCCGGCTCCGGCTGCGAAGCCCGGCGCGTGTTGGCAGGCTCGGGGCTAGCGCCGCTGAGGCAGGCTGGGCCGACGGGCGGTTAGCGCCCCGTTCGACGCGGGGAGGGGCGGCACGCCGAGAGCTGCACGGCCTCCTCACCCGACACGGGCGGCCGTGGCGACGGCGGCCGGGTTCTCGGGTTCTCTTCCTCAGGCCGCAGCCAGTCGGTGTCCCGGCGGAGCGACGGGCAGCCGGGCTCCCTTGCCCCGGGCCCCCCCTGGCTGGGGCGGCTGGGGCAGGGGGACCATGTCTGCTCGCGCTCCAGTGCCCGCCGCTCACCCTCGGGAGGAGCCTTCCGCGGCAGCAGCTGAGAGGGAGTCGCTGGCGGCCGCGGGGAGCCGGCAGGCCGAGCAGCTACCCCCGCTCGAACGGGAGGGCAAGGAGGCGGCGAGGGAGGAGAGGGCCGCGACCGCCACCAGCGCGGGGGCGCGGGGCGAGCCGTCGCCGGTGCCGGTGCTGGGACACAGCGTGCCTCAGGCGGCCGTGCCTGTGAAGCCCCTGGCGCTGCACCTGGCGCACAAGGCGCGCGGGCCAGGGGGTCCCTTCGGTGGGGAGCCGCCGCGACCGCTGCCGCGGGACCCGCCGGCCGAGAACGCCCGGGAGGAGGAGGCTGCGGCGGCCAGCTCTGAGGAAAAGCTGCAGCCGCCGCCACCGCCGAAGGAGAATCCCTGGACCAGAAAGCCTCCCCAGCACCTGTCCCCCGCCGGGACGGGGCCGCTGCCGTTGCCCCCACTGGAAACCTTGGAGGCAGGTCTGTGGCTCCTCTGCGGTGGGCACCGGGGTGTGTGTGCAGGGGCGACTCGTGGTGACCAAGGCTCCGCGGGGCTGGGGGAGGGGCAGGGCTCCTTGCCCTGTCTGTCCGAGGTGTTTCGTTCCAAGGTGTCATTCATTCTGCCTATTTACATAAATGGAGATCTGGGAAGGGAGCGACAGGAAGAGGTGGGACCTCGGGTTCTCCTTGACTAGTGGGGGCACGGCAGGGGCAATGGAGCTGAGACACTCGGCTGGCACTGCCTCAGTTTTGTCTTGCCCCCACGTGGTAGTGAATTGGGAAAGCTGACTTGAGGTAGATGTTCAATTCATCCTACAGAAGTTTCTGTAGACTTTTTGAGAAGAGGTGAGGCAAGTCGGACGGGGGATTTATTTATAAATGGAAGCGCAGTTGAGAATTTTTTATTATGAAATAATTGATAAGCTGAGAATTGGCAGGATTTTCAAAACAGTGCTAAGTAGTCACATTAAAAATGAGACTGTACTGTAGTTGTTGGTAAAAAGTTTTGAGTTCATAATTGTGGTGGAAACTTGTTGAAATAGGGTAGTTGACCCGAGAGTGAATTGCTCATTAGGTGAATAGTAGTCATAGTAGTCTTGTGTTTCTACGGTGAAGAATCCTTCTGCCAGTGTAGGGTATACCTGTTGGATCCCTGGGTAGGAAAGATCCCCTGGAGAAGGAAATGACAACCCACTCCACTATGCTTGCCTGGGAAATCTCATCAACAGAGGAGCCTCATTGGCTGCAGTCTGTGGGTCGCAAAGGACACGACTTAGCGACTATACAACAACAAACATTCAGTTACCTTTCCTTCCTAGAGGAGGTTAAGATTGTGTCGCTGAATTTGATGCTGACCAATGCCCTATGTTCCCTAGAGATTTATTTTGGTTATAACAACTTCAGGTTTTTTTTTTTTTTAAGCTAAATAGATATCCTAAATAAAACGAAGACAAACTAGTTTTGCTCTTTAACTAAGTTGTAGTAAGTTAAACTTTTCATATAGAAATTACAGCTGTTTACTTACAAGTGTTTGCTTTTCTTAAAGGTTAACAGTGAAACAGGGAAAATTCAAGCGTGTTTACAGGGTTGTGAGGATCAAATGAGACTAAGGAATGGTCAAATATAAGGTGATTGTTATAGATACATATTGCAGCTATAGTAACATTTCTTCTAAGGAACTCCAGTAGAGTGAGATAAGTGTTCGTTGGTTTGCACAGTAATAATCATTTTTTAGTGCTGCAAAACAGTATAACTTTAAACAAATAGTTATTTTACATCTGAGGTTTGATGGTCTTTAAATTATCATTTGATAAATCTTACACAGAAAAATCTGCTCACAATTTTTGCCCTAAATTTAAATTTGCCGCCATTCTCTCCGAGCTGCAAAGCTCTGTTTACCACTGTTACTAACTGAAGAGAACAAAAGTCTTAAATTGAAAACATTAGTGAATCTTAATGTCTGTCTCACCTCCCTACTCTGAGACTTACACACATTATACATTATAGTCAGTGATCTACCAAAAAAAAAACAGCAAACCTTGATTGTACAATTAATTTGACAGGTTTTAAGACTCAAATTTTAATTGGAGATTACCTTGTGAAAATATTTAACAATTTAATATAATTAGCCTGCAGGTGCTAAAGATTAGGGACCTTAATCTTTGTTGCAGATTAAGCATCTGGGTGGTGAACCAGGTGTGGTTCATAGGGACTTTAATTTTGCTGATGTTTCTCTGTAGGCAACATTTCTGTTCTTGGAATCTATTCTATACCTGCCGGAATACTGTTCTTTGTACTTGGAGTGCTGTAGTAACTTTATAGTCTATCGCCAACACTGACTCTGTACTTCTACACAACTTCTATTCGTAATTGAAAAATTCTGTCTAGGTAACTTAGACAAGAGTTTGTGGAGTAGAAATGCACAACCTGCGTTCTAGACCAGACTGGCTACTACCTAACTAGTTGACTTTTGGCAAGATTTCTGGGCCTTGAAGTACCAGAATTCCATTCACCATAAAATTTTTGGCAGAAAGTTTACTACCAGAGATAGAAACATGGGAAATGTAGGGAAATATTTCTGGACTTGTAGTCATGAATTTTTTTGTTAGAACCTGAAGTTCTAACTGAATTGCAAGTGAGGAATTCTTCAGCCCTGTGACACACTTTCCTCCGCTTTGGGGATAGTTCTGGCTTGTGTATTGGTGTTTCTGGTAATCCAGATAAGACCCTCTTTTCAGCCAAAGCCCGGCCCACAAGAGAGCCTAGAATAGTATCACTGCAGTCTTAAATTCAGGAGACTAGAAAGAATTGTTCCCTGATCCATGTTTAAATAATTTTACTTATTTTGAAGACTTTTACGAAGGTCAAAGTATGGGATTTATGAGTCACCTACCTTGTACCCATGGTTACAATTTGCATGTTAAAAATCAGCTTTCTAAATTTAATTTTTACTTACAAAAATATTGATTTGGGGACTTGCCTGGTGGCCTAGTGGTTAGGATTTGGCTCTTTCACTGCAGAGGCCCTGGTTTGATCCCTGGTTGGGGAACTATCCTTCATGCTGAGAGGTTGGGTCAGAATACAAAAAGTTTTTTTTTTCTTTTTCATCTTTAGTCTTCTTGACCCCATCAACCTTTTCTCCAAGTGTGTTTCCCAGAAACCTTAAATGAGCTTACTGTAAACCTAATAACATTTTACTTAAATTATATAAATTATACATAAATATGTTTTTATAAACACAGAATTTTGCTGTTCCCTTCAAAAAAGAGAATAGTCATGTTACCAGTTTATTGAATATCCTTTCAGTCCTTTCTGTGAAATTATTTTCAAATACAGTGTTTTGTATGTGCATTTAGAATATTCTCAATTTAAAATTTTGCCTGATCCTTTTATTTTTCTTTACAGTGAGTTTTATTTTTTAAATTATATTAATACTAGTTTCAGGTATGTGATTCAGATTTACATATACATATTGTGGACTTCCCTGGTGGCTTAGTGGTAAAGAATCCACCTGTCAAAGCAGGGGATGCGGGTTTGATCCCTGGGTCCAGAAAATCCAGATGGTGCTAGTGGTGAAGAACCTGCCTCCAATGCAGGAGACTTAAGAAGCACAGGTTCCATCCCTTGGTAGGGAAGATCACCAGGAGAAGGAAATGGCAACCCGCTGCAGTATTCTTGCCTGGAGAATCTCATGGACAGAGGAGCCTGGTGTGCTACAGTCCATAGGGTCCCACAGAGTTGGACATGACTGAAGTGATTTGGCATGCATGCAGAGAAGGAAAAGGCAACCCACTCCAGTATTCTTGCCTGGAAAATCCCATGGACAAAGCTGCCTGTCAGGCTACAGTCCATGGGGTTGTAAAAGAGTCGGACACGAATTAGCAACTAAACAACAACATTGCAAATGATTATCATATGTTTAGTTAACTACCATCTACATACTTTTTATAAAATTTTTTTCTTGTGATAGAGTTGATGCTTTTTAGTCTAAACTTTAAAAAATTGCAGAGAAGTGGTCTGTAAATATAACTGATGTAGTCAGTTTAGCCATTTACCTATTAATCAACATCCTGGTTGTTTCAAACATCTTTATGCATTTCTGTTATGTACATGTCTGATTTACTCTAGGATAGCTATGTGGAATTGTTAGGTCACAGTGTATTTGTTGACAGGTTGTTCTCTAAAGTGACTACAGATTGATAGTCTCAATTTTAGAGTCTGAGAAGTAAGTAGGCTTTTTTACACATTTTTTTAAGGCACTCATTTACTGTAATAAAATGGCATTTGATGACATTTTTTCCTTAAATATAATAAAACCATGTGATTAATGATTGATAACTGTCAATGCCTTTTCTTAATTAAAAATTTGCTAAAGATTATGGTCATGAAAATTAGAGTAAAATCACCTATCATGTTGCATTTTTTTGTTCTCACTATCCAAGCTTTTCAAATGAATTGTTTTCTTATCAGGACTTGTTTCCTTATAGATTAAGATATTACAGTAATACTCAAAGTTGTATTTTGGCTCACCAGTGATTGAAAAATGGATATGTGAAGATCACATACTTGTTTATGTATATATACATATATACTTGGAGACATGTATATATATGTGTGTATGTTCTATATATACACACACACATATATATACTTGGAGCTTAAATTTCTTAGGCTTCATCTGTCTGAAAAAATTTTTTTAATAAAGTTTCTGTATTTCTAAGTTTTTAGGTTGGCTTTCTTTTTTAGTCTTAGATTTTTTTCTAATGACATACTGGGAGAGCAGTTTCCTCCATTTTGTTTGGAGCATGGGAAAATGAAAATATTTTCTTGGCCTTGTTTTACCTCTTCTATATGTGTGTGTAAAATTATATGTAGAATCTGGTGTATTAATACATACAGATTTGTCTTATTTCTTAAATTTTGCATTATTTTTAATAAATATACCAATAATATAACTCCTATATTCAACAATATAGTAGTTATATATTTATTTTTTGGCTATGCCACACAGCTTGTGGGATCTCAGTTTTTTGGAACAGTCACGGCAGTGAAAGCCGCAAATCCTAACCATTAGGCTACCAGGGAACTCCCTAGAGGTTGTTTATTTAAATACAGTTATCTAGGGAACTTCCTAGAGGTTATTTGTTTTAATGAAGTCTGGTGGATCTTCCAACCCAGGGATCAAACTTGTGTTTCCTGTGTCTCCTTCTTTGGCAGCCAGATTCTTTACCACTGAGCCACCTAGGAAGCCCTTTCTCTGCTACAATGAACATATTTTTTTGGCTGTGCTGCTCGCCAAGCACAATCTTAGTTTCCAGACCAGGGGTTGAACCCATGTCCCCTGCAGTGAAAGCATGGAGTCTTAACCACTAGCCTGCCAGAAATCCCTACAGTGAAAATTTTATACAGACATCTTTGTATCTTGTCTTAATTCTCAGATAATGTCTAAGAAATTGAACTTTTTCATTAAAATATATATGCATTTTATTAAATTTTTAAAACTTTATTGGATTCCAGTTGATTTACAATGTTGTGTTAGTTTCAGGTGTACCTCACAGTGATTCAGAATGTATATTCATTCTTTTTCATATTACTTCTTCATATAAGTTATAGAACATTGAGTAGAGTTCCCAGTGCTATACAGTAGGTCCTTGTTGGTTATCTTTTAAAAAGGTATATATATATTATTAGTAGTATTACTTTTTTGCCACATGGCTTGGGGGTTTTATTTAGTTCCACCACCAGAGATTGAACCCAGGCCCTTGACAGTGAGAGCAGAGTCCTAACCACTGGATTGGCAGGACATTCCAAAAATAGTATATACATTTTAAATGTCAGGTTACCCTTGAAAGATTCTACTACATATTCATTCCAACAGCATGAGAGAAATGTCCATTTATACAGGTTTGCCAACACTTGGCATTTTCTTTTTTGTCAGAATGATAGGTGAAAATTGTTTTCACTTAAAATTTCTTAGTGCCATTTTGTGTTTGGCCACTGCTATTTTATTTTTGAATCATGTTTATCTTTTATTCAAATTTGTTTTTTTAAAGCTCATATCATTCTTTTAACTGAAGAAAGAGTGGGTTGATGAGGTGGTCTAAGAGCAGAACAAAGGACTTCCTTATGTTGAACTTGGAATTAGACAAATGTATTCACAGTTGGTGTTGCACAACTGCATGTTCCCTTTCTGCCTCTGTTGGGTAGTCTGCCCTGTGTGGTTGACAGCATGAAGGAGCAGACCAGAATGCTTACTTTTTGTGGACAGCTAGCTCCCAAAGGAAAGAGGGGAAAGGTGCTGGCTTTGCAAGTCAGTTCTTTTCCTAAACTCATTAATCAGGAAACATTGTTTCTGTGGAAACAATTGGTACTTGGGAACAGGAATGTTCTAGGATAGTCTTCCTTTTAAAAAAGTAGAGTAACTATAAGTGCCATTTGGTAACCAGTATTAGGAAATCCCTCTTTCCTATCTGAGTATCCAACCACAGTGGCCAGCATAATTTGTCAAATATCTTTTGATGAAAATGAATTACCATATTGGTAAACTATAAATATCCAAATTACACTGTGTACTTAAAGATACTTTTGTCAATAAAATGGCAGAATTATAGAGGCCACAGACTTAAATGTGATCTATTTTTCCATTTATTACCTGAGGAAGAGTTAAAGTTGAGAGATTAAAATTTAAACAAAAGAATTGGTTGAAATAAAAATCTCTCTTCCTTTTATTTTTATATGTGTGAAGAAATAAAGATCAAGATTATCCCTCCCTGGCTGCCCTGCATGGCTTGCGAAATCTTTTGTTCCCAAACTACGGTTTGAACTCAGGCCTCTGGCAGTTAGAGAACTGTGTGCTAACCACTGAATCGCCAGGGAGTTACCTCCAACATTTTTTTTTTTTTTAATTAAAGTATAGTTGATTTACAATATTGGGTTACCTTCCCAATTTCTTTTAGCCAGAGGTTATAATCAGTGTCTGTGTAGGGTATGCCACCATGTTGATTTTTAAATCAAAAAGATTGTTAACTTATGTTCAGATATTTTTGCTTGTAAATAACTTACTTGTCATTTAATGCTAAAGTTTAAAAGTTTATGTGGTCAGAATAATTTTTAAATTTCTGACCTTAATTTTGTGATTATTAATGTCTGCTTGATTTGTAATAAAATTTACTTTTGCGACCTATCCCTAACTACTTCCCATTACATCAGATAGTTTGTGTAAGGCTGTGTTTTGTAACCACCAGGCAATAATCACTTGACTTAGCAATATTTTGGGATGTGTTTTTACTTGGCTGAGGGAAAAGTCTTTCAAATGTTTGATACTGTGTAACTTTCATAAAATACATGTGCTATTTATAGAATATACCTTAGTCAAATTCTAGATAATATTTGGACAAATACTGTTTTTGTTAGATCAGATTTTTTTCCTGCCTCCTTTTTTGTCTTACCCGTGCATATTTTTTTCTGCATCTCATTTTTCTTAATTAAGTATTTATCTCTATGCTTATTTATATGCATGTATACATTTCCCTGTAGTAGTTTCTGTAGACTTTTTAAGAAGAGGTGAAGCAAGTTGGAGAAGGGGGATTTATTTATAAATGGAAGTGCAATTGTGAATTTTTATTATGAAAGAATTGATAAGCTGAAATTTTTCAGGGTTCTCAAAACAGTGCTAAGTAGTCATATTAAAAATGAAACTGTACTGTAGTTGCTACTGAAAAGTTTTGAGTTCATAATTGTGGTGGAAAATTGTTGAAACAGGATAGTTGGACCTGAGAGTGAATTGCTCATTAGGTTAATAATAGTCTTGTGGTTCAACGGTAAAGAATCCTTCTGCCAATGTAGGGTATGCTGTTTGGATCCCTGGGTCGGAAAGCTCCCCAATGACAACCCACTCCAGTATTCTTGCCTGGGAAAATCCCATGAACAGAGGAGCCTGATTGGCTGCAATCCATGGGTCGCAGACAGTCAAACACGACTTAGTGACTGCACAGTACACTCCCCTGGTGGCTCAGACGGTACAGAATCTGCCTGCAGTGCGGGAGACCCAGGTTTGATCCCTGGGTAGGGAAGATTCCCTGGAGAAGGGAATGGCTACCCTTGCTTGGAGAATTCCATGGACAGAGGAGCCTGGTGAGCTACAGCCTTTGGGTTACAAAGAGTGGGGCATGACGGAGTGACTGACATTTACTTACACATTTACTTGTGTCCCTAAAGTATAAGAAAGTGTAGAGCAAATAGCCATGTATACTCACTATCTGCTTTAGAAATAGAATTTCTACAGTATTCACGCTCCTTGTGTGCCCATCCCTGGGAATGTCGTCATCCTTCATCCAGCTTCCTTTCTTAATATCTTTTTTGAATTTTTCTGGTTTTAATTTAAAAATCATTTTATTTTACTCTGAAGTGGTCATTGCCATGATTTATGGGATTCATGGTTTACTAAATAATTGTGTTTTTTGTTTATTCGACTTTCATATTTACTTTAGGCCATGTATAACTAGATAATCATCGTGCTAGATAAAAAGACATTTTAAAGCTTCATTTGGAGACTATTATTATCAATCATTGTGTTCTTATTCAAGATAGGGACAGGTGATGATACTGTGATAGTCTTACACATGCTTTTACAGAAGTCTGTTTTATTTTTTATGGCTTGATTCTAGAGACAAGCTATTTTGGTTTTTCCAAAGACAAATTGAAGTCTTCTGACTTATTTTCTGGATGCTTCTTGATGTATGTGAATATATTATATATACAAATAAATGTATTATAGTATATGGCTTCCCTGGTGGCTCAGTGGTAAAGAATCCACCTACCAATGCAGGAGATGTGGGCTTGATCCCTAGGTTGGGAAGATCCCCTGGAGAAGGAAATGGCAACCCATTCCATTATTCTTGCCTGGGAAACCACATGGACAGAGGAGCCTGGAGGGCTACAGCTCATGGGGATGCAAAGAGTCAGACACTATTTAGCGATTAAACAGCAATGACATATATAATACAGATAGAAAAATATATCCCATTGGGAATTGATTCACCAACTTTACAAAAATGTGTTATATTTCTAATTTTTCCATGTTACACCTGTTAGTGAAAGGACTGGTCTGTCAGTTCAGTAAGCTGTTAATATTTCTTCTTCTTTATTTGAACACTGAAGACCACTTTCAGCCCATGTTTGAAATGTGGTTGATTTCTTGTTAGGAATTTGAGTCTTAGAACTTTGCATTTTGTTGAAAATAATGACTACATTGACTTACTGAAATTGGTTTGATTGTTATTTTATCAAATATTAAATGATAACGGTTGTAAAAAACAGTTCTTTGTTTTTTTTTTTTTTTTTAGAGCTCAGTTCCCCCAAAATTATAAAAGCAGGAAAACTCAAGACAAAGAAATCCAATAAGGTATACTTGACAATAAATAATTTTTGACTATTCTGAAAGGAACTCCTCAGATTACTGTGTATTTTTCTCTTCTGTCATTGATATTTGATGTTAATATACTAGAGAATTGTAGCCTTTATCCAGATCTCCATATGCATATGTTATCCTGCGTCTATCAGTTTAGTCAAAGTTGTGCCAGAAGTTGGATTATAAAACCAAAGCATTCTTTCTGGGTTCTGTTTTTTGGAGAAGGTTTTGGATTAATTTGGCAAATGCCTACATATAAATGAATGTAGATGATTTTAAAAGTTGCATTTAATTTTAGAAAAATCTTTTTCTATTTAGAAAATTCCTAATTTGCATAACACTTCTCTTATTACTTCTTAGGCTAGTGATTTCAGCGATATGGCAGATTGGCCAACACCAAGTGAATTAGTGCACACTGAAGTGAGTATTCTTTTAAGACCTTTTTTTAAATAAAGGGAAAGTATTCTCATTTCACTTGCAGACTTTATTTTACTTCAAATTTAGAGAATCACATTGATAAAATGCCCATTTTCCAAATACTTTGATTTCTTTCATCACATTGCCTTCATCTGGTTGTATTCTCAGGACCATGTATTTGGAAAGGATGGGGTACTGTGATGTTAACTTCATGTAATGCCTACAAATAGATTATTTTTTAATGTAGTATGTCTAATTGAAGCCCATTTTGTGTTTCAAAATTTATTTTATATATGTTTAAGTAAAATTTTTTCAATGTGTTGAAGTTTTAAGTCTTTATATACATGTACATATATATGCATATAACATATCAAAAGATTTTTAAAAACAGTTTTAGGTTTTTATGTTTGCTTTATTTATTTATTTATGACTGTGCTGGGTCTTTGTGCTGCTCTTGGGCTGTCTCTAGTTGTGGTGAGCAGGGGTAAACCACAGGCTCAGCAGTCGTGGTGCACAGGTTGTGGTGCCTGTGGTTGACCCTGGGCCTGAGGAATCTTCCCGGACCAGGAATTAAACCCATACCTTCTGCATTGGCGGGTGATTCTTAACCACTGGACCACCAGGGAAGTCTCAGTAAATGGATTTCTAGTTTAACTATGAAAGAAGTTCTAAAAAGATATTCTGAAATAGTCTGTCAAAAGGCTTTTTAGGGACTTCCCTAGCTGTCCAGGGGTTAAGACCATGCTTCCACTGGAGGGGGCATGAGTTTGACCCCTGGTTGGGGAACTGAGATCCCACATGTTGGAGCCACAGCCAAGTAAAAAAATGATAACAATAAATAAAAAGGATTTTCTTTTTAAAGACGTAGTGTCGGACTTCCCTGATGGTCTAGTGGTTAAGAATTCACCTGGCAATGCAGGAGAAATGGGTTCAATCCCTGGTCAGGGAAGATTCCACATGCCAAGGGGCAACTAAAACTGTGTGCCACAGCTGCTGAGCCCAGGCACCACAACAAGAAAAGCCACTGCAGTGAGAAGCTTGTGCACTAGGACTAGAGAGTAGCCCACGCAAGCCACAACTAGAGAACACCCACGAACAGCAATGAAAAGCCAGTACAGCCAAAAATAAATAAAATTAAAAAAAAAAAATAAATAAAATAAAGACGTAGTGTCTATGGTCATCTGGTTCCATGATTTCATTTGACACTGTACATTTTGTTGTATTTTGTGCAGTAATATTGGAGTATAGTTTAGTATATATGAAACAACTTAATTGATATATAAACAACATAACAACTGTATATGAAGGGTACAGTCTGATATACTTTGACCTGTGAAACTTTCTCCACAAACAGGATAATGAACTTGATTTGTAATTCTTCCCTGTCATGCCCTTCACCACACCATTATCCCAACCACTGTTAAGGTCTACTTAGTTAATTTGCCTTTTCTCCAGTTTTTAAAAAAATTTTTGTTGGAGTATAGTTGATATACAGTGCATTTCCTACAGTTTTATATAAGTGGAGTTATACAGCATGTACTTTTTTTTTTGCCTCTGGCTTTCATTTAGCTTAATTATTTTGAGATTTATTTATGTTATTATATGAGTAGTTTGTTCTTATTTATTGGGTAGTAGTCAATTGATGGATATAATGCTGTCCATTCACCTACTGGTGAACATTTGTGTTGATTCCAGTTTTGTGACTGTTGGGAATAGGCTACTATATAAATATTTGTGTACAAAATTTGCATGGATATATGCTTTTATTTTTCCTGGGAGTAGAATAGGTGGATTTTATGGTAGCTATTTAAAATTTTAAACTACCAAACTTTTTATTCCACCAGCAGCATATGAGAATTCTAATTGCTCTATATTCTCACTAATACTTGACATGGTCAGTCTTAATTTTAATCAGTCTAGTAGGTGTATCACATTGTAGTTTTATTTTGCACTTTTCTATTGATGTCAAACACATTTTCATGTACATTTGCCATCAGTATATCTTTTTGATGAAATGTCTGTTTAACCCTTGCCCACTTTTTAATTGTTTTCTTGTTGTTGCATTTTAGAGTTCATTATATATCTTGGATACAAGTCCTTTTATCAGATACTTAGTAAATATTTTCTCCTTGTCTTTCGCTTGACTTTTCTCTGAACAATGTCTTTTGTAATTTTTTATTTTTGATAAAAGTTGTCATTTGTTTTATGATATGTAGGTAAGATATTACCACAAATGTGGGGATATTGTTGTTCATGAAAATTTAACTCTGTAAAACCTTTTGCAGTGTCAGAGTGTCATCAGTCAAGGAAATAAGAAGCCACAAAATAGAAAAGAAAGAGAAGACAAGGTTGAAAAGAGAAGTGTTAACAATGAAAGCAGAGAAAACCGAGAAACAAAATTAGATGGTCCTGGTGAAAATGTCAGTGAGGATGAGGCTCAGTTAAGTAACCAACGAAAAAGAGGTTAGTTTGTTTATACCTTCATTTTGATTTTAAGTTTTTAAAGAGAGCTATAGTAATGAAGAATCATATTTAATCAGTAGATTCCTGGTAGTCACCAGTGAGTAGTTTGGATGTCTTCACAACTGAGTGACTGAGTGCACACACAAACACACACACACAGAGCACATGTTTATCTTTAAAACAAGGAGTTTGTTGCTGTTAGTCACTAAGTTGTGTCTGACTCTTTTGTGACCCCATGGACCCTGCCAGGCTCCTCTGTCCATGAGATTTCCCAGGCAAGAATACTAAAGTGGGTTGCCATTTCCTTCTCAACCCAGGTAAATGTTCCCAAACCAGGGATCAAACCTGAATCTCTTGTGTCTCCTACACTGGCAGGTGGGTTCTTTATCACTAGAGAAGCCTAAAACAAGGGCTTATTTGTCCCCAAAGAATCTCACTGATACTCATTAGAATTTAGAATATAGACTTTAGAGAACTTTTAGATTCTTTCGTATTCCCTTTTCCTTATCTGTCCATAGTTTGCCATATTTGTAGGAAATTAATACACTAATATTCTCTTAATTAATTTGGTAGTTTTTCCTTTGCCCATGAATCTTTTTGTGTTTTAGTCGAAAATTGTATTGGGCAGAAATCTGAACATTTTGAAACCTTAACTGTGCAATCCATGAATAAGTGATCTTCAGATTTCACTATACTATAGCTATTAATTACATTATCATTTAGTCAACAAGAAATATCAGATTGCTTATATCTCTGAAGAAGTTAGGAAAATACAAAGATTTATCAAATGCAGTTAGATTTGCAGTTAAAGTTCATTTTGATAAAGCTCATTAGTAGTTATGCTGGATAAATTAAAATTTGAGCCAATTATTTTAAACTAAGTGTTTTGAATCAGTATTCAAACAATTATCAGGTGTACCCTGTTCTAAAGCCTAAGTATCAAGTATTAGATGAGAGTAGTGTGTACACTTAATATTTTTTATAACTTATTTGTCAGAATTAAATGGAAGAGTGTGCATTTCACTTAAAAGCAAAAGAATTCCAGTTATACTCTATCATTGTCTTTTCACTTGAGCTTTAGAAATTTTGCAGTTTTCATTTAGTAATATTTAGACTCCCTTTACAATTGCAAAGCTTTCATGTAAATTGTACATTGTCTTTAAGTGATTTTGTTTTCTTCAAGCTAATAAGCACAGATGGGTACCACTCCACTTAGAAGATGTAAGACCAGAGAGTCAAGAAAGACCAGGGTCCCGGAATAGCTCAAGATGTCAGTCTGAAGCAAATAAATCATCACATAACAATAGGAGAAATGACACACGAAGTAAGTAACATTTTAAGAGAAAAATGACTTAATTTAGCCTTAATGCTTATTGTTTTAATAACCATGTATATGATATAAAGTATTTGAGAGTAAGTTGCAGATATTGTGCCCCTTATTCAGGGTTAAAGAGTATATATCATAGGAACAGTAACACAGTCTGTCTGTCCACAGACAGAATTTCTCAATAATGCCCTTTGCAGTTTTTCTGTCTTTTCCAGAATCTAACCTTTGATCACACATTGCTTTTACTTGTCTTCTCTTTCATTTCTATTAGTTTGAAATAGTTCTTCTGCTTTTGTCTTTTCATGATGATCTTTTTTGAAGGACATAGGACTGTTATGTGTCTATGCCGTACCTCACTTTGGGTTTTCTGATGTTTCCTTATGATTGGGTTATGAGTTTTTGGCAAGAATACTGCAAAGGTTAAATGGTTTTCTTTCAAGTGTGTAGCTTGAAAATAACATATAATATTGGTGTATCTTATTATTGGTGATACTAACTTTGAGCACTTGGTTAAGATGAGGTACTCCAGATTTCTTTATAATAAAGATACTCTTTTTTCCCTTGGTGATTAATATGTAATTTGTGGTCAGAGACTTTGAGAATGTGAGAATACCCATTTTTTCATCAGAGTTTTCATATGAGCCTTAGTCTCCACTGATGATTTTTATTCTTATGTGACTGAGGTATTAACCATGATGGCTGTAAATGCTAATTTAGCTATTACAACATTCCTTATTGGCATTCCACTGTAAGGAACAACTCCCTGTTGTTATTGGTGTGGACTAAAGTCTTCTCATATTTTCAGCTGTTGAAATCATTACCATGATTGTTTAATTTTAATGCTCAAATTGTCCCAGAGTTGGCTCTTGGGAGCCTCTTATGTGTTTCTGGATCCTTTAAAAAGTCAACTTTACTGAACTAATAATCAAAGAAACTACACTGAAATTATTGTCAAGTCCCTAACCATGAGTCTACTTTCTATCAGATTTTATTTACCTTTTCAGAATAAATTTAACTATACAATATAAATTATATCCTCTTGTATTTTTTTTGCTCAGCATAATGATTTTCATATTCATCAGTATTGTTCCATATATCAGTAATTTCTACCTCTTTATTGCATAACAGTTTTCTGTTGAATGGATATACTCATTTATCCATTCATCTGTTCATAGATATTTGGCATGTTTCTAGTTTTTGGCTGTTATGACTAATGCTGCCATCAACATTTGTATACAAGCTTTTCTGTGGGCATATGTCTTTGTTTCCCTGGTAAACATCTAGGAGGAAGTTGCTAGGTGGTATGGTAAATGTGTGTATGTGTACACACACATACATATGTATATACACTTACACAGATACACACACACACATACATACATACATACATACATAAATATATTTGGTGCCCCGCACAACGTAGTCTTAGTTCACTGACCAGAGATTGAACCTGTGCCCTTGGCAGTGAAAGTGCAGAGTCCTAACTATTGGACCACCAGGGAATTCCCTGAGCATTTGCTTTTATAGTTTTCTACTGAAATCTTTTTGTTTTTTATTTTAAAAATATTTAGTCTTGACTGTGCTGAATCTTGATTGCGTGAGTTTACTTCAGCTGTGGTGGGGGGTGGTTCTCTGTAGTTGTGGCGCATGGGCTTCTCAGTGCGGTGACTTCTCTTGATGTGGATCATGGGCCCTACAGGCACAGTAATGGTGGTGCACAGGTTTAGTTGCTCCACAGCATGCGGAGACTTATACCAAACTGGGGATCAAACCTGTGTTCCCTGCATTGGCCAGTGCATTTTTTACTGACCCACCAGGGAAGCCCCTTCTACTGAGTCTGATAAGTTTTTAGGCATGTTGTCCCATGAAAGCATTGTACAGTGAATACCTGTCTAATCCCCATCTAGACTGAGTAATTTGGTTATCTTTAATTCATCCATCTGCTGAATCATCTGAAAGTAACTTCCAGATATTATGACACTTGAGCACCGATGTCCCGAGAAAATGCAGCATCCAAGAAAATCAACACTAATTCCCTTATATCATCTTAAGTCTAGTTAATATTTACTCAGTTGTCCACAAAATATGACTTATATAAAATTATAAATCTTGCTACTGGTATTTAGTGAGGAGAAAATAAGGATAACACAAAACATCCTACAGTACCCAGACAGCCCCCACACTAAATGTCAATAATGCCATGTGTGAGAAACCCTGGTGTCTAGGGTATACAAACCTTTACATTTATTTCATTGTTTCCATTTTTCAAAATTGAAATGTATTTGTTCTTACTCTGGCATTATAAAAAAGTTCTATCTTCTCTATCTTGGTCAATGTTTGATATTATAGGACCTTAAAATATTTTTCACACTGGTACAGATTAGAAAATACTCTTTGATCGTCTTAACTTGCATTTCTGAAGGCCAGTGACACTGACCATCATTTTTTTATTGTTTCTTTGCATTTCCTTGTTTGCCTTTCCAATCTTTTAATGATTTTTTCCATCTAAGTCGCTGTATGTGTGAGAATGTGCATGTGCATAAGATATATTTGTCTGAGTTCTGTATGTATGCTGGATATAATTTGTGTACAATAATTTGTGTACAATCAAAAGCACAAGCTTCTGATATCTGTTTTTCTGTTTTCATTCCCTTTTTTCTTAAAAAAGGAAAGTCTTTCACTTAAATAGAAATATTATTTCCTTCAAAAATTCCTATTTCTGAAAATAAGTTGTCTTTTTTTTTTTTTCTTTTGGAGTTTTGTATAGTATAGAACTCAGTTACCTTGGAACTTCCTGAATTTTTAACAGTACAGTTTTAGCAAAGGATCTCATTATCTTTGTAGTATATTATTTTACTTATTAGAATATCTTCTTATATTATTATAATTATTATATCAGAGGATGAGATGATTGGATGGCATCACTGACTTAGTGGACATGAGTTTGAGGAAACTTCCGGAGATAGTGATGGAAACCTGATGTGCTACAGTTCATAGGGTTGGAAAGAGTCAGACGTGACTTAGCGACTGAACAACAACAACATAAAATGTCTTTTATGCCAGAAAGTTTGACACACTCCTATGTAATCTTTTCAGTTTCTATCTTTCTGAAGAATGACCAGTTACTAATAACTGGTTACAAAGCCGGGAGGGGTGGTTACCACATTTTTGTAAGATAAGATGTTAATCATAGTTGCAAACTGGAATGTATAAAAATATTTTTATTTTAAAAAAGGTTGGAGGCGTGAAAGAGAAAAGAGAGAAGATCAAGATGAAGTTTCCAGTGTGAGAAGTGAGGGTGGTAATATCCGAGGCTCCTTTAGAGGCCGAGGAAGAGGCCGAGGACGAGGAAGAGGCCGGGGCAGAGGAAATCCTCAATGTAAGACATGATTTTTGTTTTGTTAAATTAGATGAATGATGAAAAATGTACAAATCCTCTGTTTTTCCCACTATACCATATAGTGTTTCAACTGAGTTTTTGTCTGATAATAAAGCTGGTTTTGTATTTGTTAGCCCTTGAGAAACTTCACATTGGATTTTTCTTTATAGTAACTGTTCTTTGTTTTTTTTCAATCTGTGATCATTTTTCTTTCTTTACTACTTCAAGTGAACTTTGATTATTCATATGGTTATCGAGAACATGGTGAAAGGACTGATCAACCATTTCAAACAGAACTTAATACCAGTATGATGTATTACTATGATGATGGTACAGGCGTACAGGTGTATCCTGTGGAAGAAGCATTGCTTAAAGAGTATATTAAGCGCCAAATGTAAGTCATCAGAGACTGAACAGATGCGGTAGGAAAATCTGTTATAATGTCAAAGTTTAACATCATTGATAATGAATATAACACATTTTTCTAAGCTGTTTATTAGTAAAATTAGAGGATTTTAATAGTATTTTATATTTTATTTCTAGGAAATGTTAGTAAAGTATATAAAATATTTTTAAAAATTTATATTGGTTCATGTTGTTGTTTATATGACTCCTTTCTCTACTGCGGTATTTCTCTGCTTACAAGGATATTAGTGAAAAAAGCATAATGTGAATGATTAAATATAAGAATTTAAAAAGTGAAGTATTAGTTGCTCAGTCATACCTGACTCTATTGCCCACTAGGCTCCTCCGTCCATGGGCTTCTCCAGGCAAGAATATTAAAGTGGGTTGCTGTTACCTTCTCCAGGAGATCTTTCTAACCCAGGGATGGAACCTGGGTCTCCTGCATTGCAGACAGATTCTTAACTCTATGAGCCACTGAGGCTCAGCCACTGAGGAAACGAGTGTATATATTAAAAATTGAGCAAATGAAATTTAGCTAATTTGCAAATAAATGTTTATATTAAAATTTGCAGATGAACATAAATGGCAAAAAATGGTTGTGTCTTCTGACTTTCTTCACAATTGGTTTCAGAATTCTGATTATTTTTTAACTTTTAAGTTCTCTGAGACATATTAAAAGGAGACTACCTAATAATCTTATTTAGTTTATACTTTTTATAATAGTTGCTTTCTGAATATTGAAGTTGATGTTAGGAGAATATTGTTTGTTCTATTATCTTTAAGCAAGAAAAAAATAATAACCCTCTGTGTATTAGTATTGTGTAGGATGTTTTGCATGTTTATATAGTGATTTGCATATGCATATCTAATTTGCTAAAATTTTAACTTTTTTTTTTATTCTTATAAAGGGAAGGGAAAGGCCATTTTTGAAAGGACATAGCAGTTTTAAAATATCTACCTTTATTTTAAAAAAGAAAATGAATCTTGGCTCATTACTAGAAAATAATTTTTCATCAGCATCAGCCAGCCATCTTCCTTGGATGCCATCATGATGGATTTGATTGGCTTACAATATGAAGCAACTTGTTTATTTTTTTCTTGCTTCTTTTGTTACAGTTGATGAAAACGCTGAAGAAAAGGGCCTTTTTATGGGCAGAAAGTGCCTGGCATGTGGCTATCAACTTCAAATTATTATTCCTTTTTATTTATTCATGTGCTTGTTTTGGTAACTCTTGCTACCAGGTCCCTTCTGAGACCTGACAGTGGACAGGCAACTCCATGTCAGGATAACTGGCCTTCCAATGTGCTCATACAGGTGAGGGAGGAGAACAGCTACTTCACTGTTAATTTCTGATCATGCAGTGTAGAATCCAGAGCTTCAAGGTAGGACATGATAATGTCCCCTAGGACAGTGAACAAAATGTCAGACACAGCACCAGTCATGGCTTCTTTTCTTGTCATTGTTCAGCAGCAGAGTTTTTGGCAGGTACTAGAGAACCAAATTTAGAATGGCTGTTTACTGTTATCATTCTCTGATTAGTGCACATCTAGATTTGAGAAGTCATGCTTTTGACTTTGTGTCTTTAAGGTTTCGCATACATGTACAGGCTTATTCATTCATGAGTGTTTAGATTTTTCTCTTTGAGAAGTTCCTGAAAAGCTTCTTGTACTTGTGGAATATTATGCTAAATATTTTTGAAGAGGCTTAACTATATCATAGATGTTTGAGTCCTTAAAATAATATTAACTGAAAATGTGTATTAACTATGTGGATAGCCTCTTGGCATTCAGATATAAGTACGTTTACAGCCCATTAAATTTTTAAAAAGTGTATACTATAATTAATGGTGATTTATGAGTTTATTTAGGTACTGTGTTTTTCAGAGTACTAGATTTAAAAAAGATTAATGGTTCAGAGAAGTTTTTAATCTAAACATTTTTAACTTATGGTTAAATCAGATGTCTTAATGTCTGAAAATTTTCAAATTTAAACATATGTATTATGTGCCCACCACATGCCAGGCACTGTGAAAAAGGCTTTTGAGGTGTAACAAAAATCAGAATGTTCATTTCTTCAAGACTTAGATTTTTTTTCTTAATTTTCTTCAGTGTTTAAGGAGAGTAAATGATTTACCTAGTGTTACTGAGATGTTAGTTGTATTTCACTGACCTAAGGGAGCTTTGCACTTTGATAGTTGGAAAATATCAGAGTAGAAAAACAACTTGGGTATTTACATTTCTAAAATGAGATTTTTTTCCCCCACCCAGTGAAAGGTAGCTCAAAGCCAGCTTTCATTTATAGGTAATTATTCCTTCAAAATTAAGAATTTGACCTAAATACTTCAAGGGTATCTCTAGTCACCCAGTTGCCACCCTTTGAAAACTTGCTTTGTGATTTGGATATAGTGTAGGATTGTTAAAACTGTAAGCCATATCATTTGATGTCATGTATTTCTTTTGTATTATTATTTTCTATATTTTCCCTCTTTTATCCTCTTATTCTGTTTCTCTAGAATCTTGTCATTTTTTAAAATATGCAAGCTGTAATTTAAACAAGTGTTTCTGAAATGCCATTATTATATGTATTCTTCATATTATCTTTATATGTTGGAACTTGTTGATCCCACAGCGTGTTCATTTACACCTCCCTCTCTGCTTTCCTAGAGAGACAATTAAGGTGTGAAAGTTTGCTTCTATAGATTTTCACCTATGTATATACCTCATGGTGTTATAGATGTTCTTTATTTAGCTATATTCTGTTCACTTTTAATGTCTTTTATAGTTTTGCCTCTCAAAGGGGAGGTTGAGGGTCTTGAATCATTCAAATATAAAATTGAGTGTGTGCATCTGTGTCCATGTACTCACTCAGCTTTTACTAAACATTGTGCTGTATGCTAAAGTTTGTACATAGTAAACAATGTCATTACTGTACCAGCTTAGAAAACACAGCAAACTAATCTGCTCTGTAAACTTGGTAAAAACTGCTTCTAATATACCATTATTTTCAGTGATGGGAAAAAGTTGGAAGGCAGTCTGTTGACATGTTTAACTTTGTTATTTAGTGTTTAAATGAAGCAAGTTAATGTGACTTTGTCTTTTTTATATAATTTATTTTTTTTATTGAAGGATAATTGCTTTACAGAATTGTGGTGTTTTCTGTCAAACCTCAACATGAATCAGTCATAGGTATACATATATCCCCTCCCTTTTGAACCTGTCTCCTGCTGCATCCCACCCCTCTGGATTGGTATAGAGCCCCAGTTTGAGTTTCCTGAGCCATACAGCAAATTCCCGTTGGCTATTATACATATGGTTAATGTGGCTTTGAAATGATATTTTCACTTAATAAACTCATTAGAAAGTCAGTTATTGAACTGTTTTAAAGAATAACACTCTTTAATTGTTTATGCTTAGGTAAAGTTGATCTAAGTAAAAGTTAGTTTTTGGGAAGATAGTATTCTAAATTTCTTTCTACTTGTGTAAGAGAATTTACTATCAGTAGGGTTTTACAGCTGTTTATATTTATCCTAGGCTACAGTAAATGTGTATAATGTTACAATAAATCAAAATAGTTTTATAGCAGTTGATATCTTAAACAATAGACATTTTAATTTCCAGTTGAATAACTTGATGAAATTTATATTTACTTCTTTTTCTTTTCAGTGAGTATTACTTCAGTATAGAAAATTTGGAACGGGATTTCTTTCTTAGGAGAAAGATGGACGAGCAAGGTTTCTTGCCTATTTCCCTGATTGCTGGTTTCCACCGTGTTCAGGCTCTCACTACAAACCTTAATCTCATTTTGGAGGTAATTATTCATATACAGAATAGTCTGTACTTTCAGTTGTTCTGTGAACCTAAAACTGCTCTAAAACAAGTCTATTAAATAATTTTAAGAAAAAAGCAAAAACATTCTTCCCTGGTAGCAGAGCTGAAAGAATTGGCCTGCAATGCAGGAGACCCTGGTTCAGTTCCTCGATTTGGAAGATCTGGAGAAGGGGTAGGCTACCCACTCCAATGTTCTTGGGCTTCTCTGGTGGCTCAGATGGTAAAGAATCCGCCTGGAATGCGGGAGACCTGGGTTCGATCCCTGGATTGGGATCCCCTAGAGGAAGGCATGGTAACCCACTCCAGTATTCTAGCTTGGAGAATCCCCATGGACAGAGGAACTATAGCCTTACAGGGTTTCAGAGTTGGACACAACTGAGTGACCTAAGCACAGCACAGTAATCTAAGACTTTTGAGGCTGTATTTCAAGGCTTTTTTTGCCATTTTATAAAATCCAAATAAATGTCTAACCTTGGAAACCCCTCAAAGGATTACTAATGTTTCCACCTGTTTTTAACTTGATCCTTCTTGGATGGGTTGAACCCCAAAACAAACTTAAACATTCTTGATTATTCTTGGTCCTTTAGTATTTAGGTTGCTGTATTTAGAGCTTGTATTCTCATCATTAAAATTTTGAGAAATTTTCTTGTATACCGAGGGCTAATTTAAAATAGTTATTCCAGTTGTGTTCTTAAAGCTTTTATTAAATCTCTTGTCTGTTTTGTTATAGAAATGGTTTCACCATTTTTGGTTTTCCCTTCCCTACATATATACATAATATTCACCATTTTTGCTATATTGTTTTCTGAATTTTGGCAGTCTTACACACTTATGCCACCTGTGTAGCCAATCTCTTTCCTCATACATAACCCCTTGGGAACCACTGATCTGATTTTTTTTGTCCCTCTAGTTTTGCCTTTTCTAGACTATCATGTAAATAAATTATACATCATTAGTTTGTAGCTTTTTGTTTCTGATTTCTTTGACTTAGCATAGTGCTTTTGAGATTCATTCTTGTTGTTTCATGTATCAATAGTTCTTATTGTTGACTGGTATTTCATAGTAAAGATGCACTACAGTTCACTTGTTGATAGACATATAGATTGTTTCTGGTTTTAGGAGATTATGAATAAAGCATAGATCTAAATATTGAGGATTGTGATTACTGGAATGTGTGATAAGTGTATGTTTAACTATAGGAAGTTGCCAACCAATTGTCCAAAATGGATTTAACCATTTTTCATGCCACCATTTTGTATGAGAATTCCATTTGCTCCTTGGCCTCATCAGCACATGGTATTCTCAGCTTTTTGAATAATGGATAAGTTTGTTATTATGGTTTTACTTTGCATTTCCCTAGTGACTAATGATGTGGGGCATCTTTTTATGCATTTATTTGCCATTGTTGTTCATTGTTCGGTCAGTAAGTCATGTCTGACTCTTTGCGACCCCATGAAATGCAGCACACCAGGCTTCCCTTTCCTTCACTATCTCCTGGAGTTTGCTCAAACTCATGTCAGTTGAGTCAGTGATGCCATCCAACGTCTGTTGCCCCTTTCTCCTCTTGGCCTCAGTGTTTCCCAGCATCAGAGTCTTTTCCAGTGAGTCAGCTTTTCGCGTGAGGTGGCCAAAATATTGAAGCTTCAGCATCTGTAACAGTATTTGCCATCGGTGTACCTTGTTGAAATATCTACTCAAATTATTGCCCATTTTTATTGGGAATATTTATTTTCTAAGTAATTGAGTTGTTAGATTTTATTATTCTGGGTGTAAGTCCTTTAAGCATATTTTAGAGAAACTTTTTTCCTGTCTTTGGCACATCTTTTAATTTTCTTAAGGCTGCTTTGAACACATGTGGTCCAGGTTTTAAAAACTAGCTTTGGGAAAGTTCAGGTTTTCAAAACACTATAAACTATTTTTAAAAGAACTTTAAAAATAAATAACTTTGTTATTTTTATGTGATTAATGATTCTTTGTTTTGAACTTACTTCAAACAATGACATTATTGTATTTATTTATTTATAGATGCTATTTTTTATAGAAGCTGTTTCAGTAAAGTTTTTTGTATACTTTAATTTTAAGAAAACTTAGGTTTTTTTTCTTGCACAGTTTATTCTTGGAAGAAAGTATTATGATTATGTTCATAGTAGAATGAGCTTGTTAACCACTAACATTGCCTAAGCTATAGCAAAGATCTATATTGCACAATACACTATATATATATTATATATATATATATATATATATATATAGTGTGCTGTGCAGGAGTCACATGAGACACAGGTTTGATCCCTGGGTCGGGAGGATTCCCCTGGAGAAGGAAATGGCAACCCATCCCACTTCTTGCCTGGAAAATTCCATGGACAGAGGAGCCTGGCAGGGCTACAGTCTGTGAGGTCGCAAAGAGTCAGATGTGACTGAGCATGCTCAGATCTCTAAGCAAGCTCTAGCTCCGCTATCATTTTCAATGATGTTATCAATTTGTTCTGGTCTCCGTACCTCTGTAAGAATCTGGTTGTAATTCACTGCATCCTTTTTTTGGTCTGTTCATATTCCCATTAAGTCCTTAATTTTTATATCACTGATTGTCTACTTCTATTATAAAACTTACAGCAGTAGGGAAGGGATATTTTAAAAAGAATTTTTGCATTACTATTATGGTTAGCATTATTAATACATAGTGGCTGATTTACAGTGAGAAATAAAACTGTTTCGAAACAGAAACACATAAGCATAGTGATTTAGAACAGCATAGGTCTGTATTCACTTAACAGTCATTATGTACCTACTACTTATTACAGTAGGAAAGATGTCTTTTTTTTTTCCTTTACGAAGGTAGGGCTTCATTAGGCTTTGCAGTGTAAACATACTGATTTAGAGCATGGACTTGAGGACCTGCATACATATCCTCATAGCTCTGGACTTCAAGCACTTCAGGCAGTGTTTTGAGACTTCTGTAAAGTGTAAATTGTTAACAATACATACTTCATGGGGTTGTTATGGGTATGAAATGTGTAATGACAGTGTCTGGCATACATCTTAAGTTCTAAATAAAAATTTGCTGTTACTTTTATATCCTTCTATTTATTATTCCTTTTAATCAGCTTTTTCCAGTATGTATTTGAATATGCTCAAGTGTTAAAACTTTCTTGAAAAAGCTATCAAAGGGAGCAAAATATACTTTAGTTATTTCCCATATCTACCTTGATGACAGTGGAAACAGTGTCAGACTTTATTTTTGGGGGCTCCAAAATCACTGCAGATGGTGACTGCAGCCATGAAATTAAGACGCTTACTCCTTGAAAGGAAAGTTATGACCGACCTAGATAGCATATTATAAAGCAGAGACATTACTTTGCCAATAAAGTTTCGTCTAGTCAAGGCTGTGGTTTTTCCAGTGGTCATGTATGCATGTGAGAGCTGGACTGTGAAGAAAGCTGAGCGCCAAAGAATTGATGCTTTTGAACTGTGGTGTTGGAGAAGACTCTTGAGAGTCCCTTGGACTGCAAGGAGATCCAACCAGTCCATCCTAAAGGAGATCAGTCCTGGGTGTTCATTGGAAGGACTGATGTTGAATCTGAAACTCCAATACTTTGGCCACCTGATGTGAAGAACTGACTCATTGGAAAAGACCCTGATGCTAGGAGGGATTGGGAGTAGGAGGAGAAGGAGATGACAGAGGATGAGATGGCTGGATGGCATAACCGCCTCAATGGACATGAGTCTGAGTAAACTCCGGGAGTTGGTGGTGGACAGGGAGGCCTGGCGTACTGCAGTTGATGGGGTCACAAAGAGTTGGACACGACTGAGCAACTGAACTGAACCTTGGTTAAGAATGTCTACATAGCCACACTTACTGAATCTGTTTCCTTCTTTCCCATTCATTTTCACCATACTGAATTCTTTTTCTTTTTTTTAACTTATTTACATATATATATGGTATTTTCATTGCTTTTCAGCATTGTCATTTAATAGTTATATAATATTGTCTATAGTCATTGTTCTGTGCATTATCTCTCTCTTATTTACTACTGCTTATAAGTGAGTAGTAGTAAACAACATCAATCTCATCCCCTCCTCCATCTCCTGGTAAGCATTTTATTCTTTTTTTTTTTTTTAAACAAGTTTCACTTTTTTAGATTCCACATATAAATGATATCATACAATACTTGTGTTTGTCTTTCTCTGCCTTTTTTATCTCCCTTACCATAATGTGTTCAAAATTAATCCATGTTGTCAGAAACAGTAGGATATTCTCCTTTCTCATTATTGAGTAGTATTCTATTGTGTATATATATCACATGTTTTTTATCCATTCATTTTTTAGAGGTTATTTAGGTTGTCTCCATATGATGGCTACTGTGAATAATGCTGCAATACATGTGGGAATGCATATATCTCTTTGAATATTTTTCATTTTCTTTGGATATATACCTAGAAGTAAGTGGAGTTGCTGGATCATGTGATTGATCCAGCTTATTGCATGCTTGATAGTTGCTCCAAAACTGAGCTATCTGTGTCTTCCTCTTTTGTTAGATTTAATTGATTCTGGCTCTGCATCTAGTCAGTTGTATTCAAGTTATTTAACTTTTTACATGCTAAAGTTTTCTCATTGTTAAAATACAACAAATAAGTGCTTAAGCTATCATAGAGTATGTGGACTTAGAAGAGTATTAATATAATAATCATAAAGTCCTTAGAACTGTGCTTGATACTCTCATCTCAAACCTTGTTGCCCAAATTGACTGACCTTGCGGTTCCAGAAAATGTGTGCTGCTCTTTTCTTACTTCTATGTCTTTGCACAGGCTAGTCTTCCTCTTAGTATCAGTCATAAGACCTGGACCTAGGGATATAATATCTATATGTTTCAGCATTGCTGGTTGCTCATAATAATAGGATCAAGTACAGAAAAAAAGGACCAAGTACAGAAAAAAACCTCAGAGACTCAGAAGTAACTGACTCATTGTTTCAGAGCTCAAGATAACAAGATTTGGTTTTAGTAAAAATATGTCTCGTTTTGTCTAGGTCTTTTCCTTAATTTGTGTATGCTATAGGTCTTTTAAGGCCTGAATCACAGTTTTTCTCCTTTCTGTTTTCTTTATTTTCTTGACTTTTTTTTTCCCCAGTGGAAAATCCCCTGTGATTCAAGATTCAAGGGGTATATAGTGAAAAATTTCCTTCTCATCGTTCACCAACAGTGAACTAGTTAAACCTTCCATGGTGTGGCAAGTAGTGTTACTCCTTTTTATGTATTTTTCCTGAGATTGTGCATGTTTTACTACATAATACTGTTTTGTTCCTTTAATAAAAACAGCATATATTGGATTATCATTCCATATAAAGAACTTTTAATTTTTTCTTGAAATTTTTTCTTTAAATTGTGACATAACTTAAATATTGTATATAAGAAATTATAAGATTAAGGATGATTTCTTTTCCCCTATGCATGTACTCATGTTAAGTATTACATTTAAGGAAGATTGACTTCCCTGATAGCTCAGTTGGTAAAGAATCTGCCTGCAATGCAGGAGACCCTGGTTCGATTCCTGGGTTAGGAAGATCTGCTGGAGAAGGGATAGGCTACCCACTCCAGTATTCTTGGGCTTCCCTTGTGGCTCAGCTGGTAAAGATTCTGCCTGCAAAGCAGGAGGCCAAAGTATTGAGCCAATTGAAACTATTGCCATTCAGAGTGTTTGTCTTCACATCCCAGTGAACACCATTGGTAGTCTTTTTTCCAAAGTATTTTGAAAAACTAAACCCATAGGGAAGTGTTAAGGAGTTGTTTTTCTTTTTTAAGTTCAGGTATAATAAGTAATGTGCTGTAAACTGCCAGGGATCTTAGGTGTTCAGTTTGATTTTTGAAAATTGAATAAGCCTGCCCCAAACAACATATATCAATAGTTCATTATTCTAAAAACCTCCACAGTGGCCTTTTCCAGTCAGTTCCCCGTCCTCTTGTCCTTTGCCCTGCCTAATCAAACCACTTTTGTGATTTCTGTTACCATAGGTTTGTCTGTTATTTATGTTTGTATAGATGAAATTTTTCTGTCTCCTCGCTCTTTCATTTGTAGTGTTTTTTTAATTTTGTTCAAGTATAGTTGATTACAGTGTATTTCTGCTGTACAGCAGTGATTCAGATATACCTATATATATATCTTTTTCATGTTCTTTTCCATTATGGTTTATGACAGGATATTGAGCATAGTTCCTCGTGTTATATGATAGGACCTTATTGTTTATCTATACATCTCTATATAATAGTTTGTATCTGCTGATCCCAAACTCCTACTTCATCACTCCTCCAACCCTGTCCCCATTGGCAACCACAAGTCTGTTCTCTGTGAAGACAAGGGGTATTTTATGAAGCTTTTGTTATATATGTACATACAGAGTTGCATTTGGATGTATATCTCTGTGAGGTTCCAACATAAGATGTATTTCTAAAAGTCAAATCAAACTTTGAGACACTGGGGATCACTTCAGGAGGTGAAATACTAGGATTTGAAAGGGAACACCTCAAAGGGGAGGCGGAGTATCAGGCAGAGTAGAACACTGCCCTCTGGTGGATGGAAAAATGCAGCACCAGACCTCAGAACTAAGATCATGGCATCTGGTCCCATCTCTTCATGGCAAATAGATGGGGAAACATTGGAAACAGTGACAGACTATTTTGGGGGGCTCCAAAATCACTGCAGATGGTGACTGTAGCCAAGAAATTAAAAGACGCTTGGTCCTTGAAAGAAAAGTTATGACAAACCTAGACAACATCTTAAAAAGCAGAGATATTGCTTTGCCAACAAAGGTCTGTCTAGTCAAAGCTATGGTTTTTCCAGTAGTCATGTATGGATGTGAGAGTTGGACTATAAAGAAAGCTGAAGAATTGATGCTTTTGAACTGTGGTGTTGGAGAAGACTCTTGAGAGTCCCTTGGACTACAAGAAGATCCAACCAGTCCATCCTAAAGGAAATCAGTCCTTAATATTCATTGGAAGGACTGATGCCAAAGCTGAAACGTCAATACTTTGGCCACCTGATGCAAAGAACTGACTCATTGGAAAAGACCCTGATGTTGGGAAAGATTGAAGGCGGGAGGAGAAGGGGACAACAGGATGAGTTGGTTGGATGGCATCACTGACTCATGGACATGAGTTTGAGTAGGCTCCGGGAGCTGGTGATGGACAGGGAAACCTGGTGTGCTGCAGTCCATGAGGTCTCAGAGTCGGACATGACTGAGTGACTGAACTGAAAACTCAGGCATCAACAGGATCTGGGGTAAAGTTGTTTAATTGCTAAGTCATATGCAATTCTTTATGTGACCCCATGGACTGTAGCCTGACCAGGCTCCTCTGTCCATGGGATTTCCCAGGTAAGAGTACTGGAATAGGTTGTCATTTCCTTCTCCATCATTTATAGTTTTAATTTTTTAATTTTTTTTATTTATAGTTTTTAAAATTCATCCATGTTGTTGCAAGATCTGGATGCTGGGTCCACTGCTTTGCTACTAGGGTGTCATTGCCTCTAGATGGTTCAGTGAACAAAACTAGGAAAATATATTTAAAAAAACAAACAAAAAAAAAATAAAAAACCCATGCATGTATCACTAATTCAAAACCCTTATTGGGACTTCCCTGGCAGTCCAGTTAAGATTCTTTGCTCCTAATGCAGGGGGCTTGTGTTCGATCCCTGGTCAGGAACTAAGATCTCACATCCTGCAAGCCACCTGGTACAGCCAAAAATTAATAGTAATAAGATAAAATGCAAGGATGAGTAAGAAAAAAGAAATAATAAAAAAAAGATTCTTCTTTATTTCCTTCATTCCATATTTCATACTCTCTTCTCTTTCAGTGATTATCCTGATTCCCATCAAGAGTTTGTTTTTAAATAATTTTAATACTTTATTAATGTCCCATTACAGAAAATATAACTTGAGAAGTAAGCATGATGCTAATATTAAGGTGTACAAATGTAAAATATTAAAGTAACAAATATTATGTGTTCTCCAACTAAAATACAGTGAGTTTTAAATCTTTATGTTAACACTTTGATGTTGAGTTTTTATACTTATCTTTTTTCCTTGTCTCTGAAGGTGAGTACCCTTGAATTTCAGTTAAGATTCAAATCAGTAAGACTCTAATTTTTATTTGGAAGAAATTTTGTTCTCGTTTTATTTTGCCCTTAAGTTATACCATGTTTGTTTATTTTGAAGTTTATTTTTGAGAGCCAGCGTATCCTAGGGGCTAAGAGGTGTCATGGGGGACAGATAATAGTTTGACCTGGTATTACCTCATACTAAGTCTATGACCTTTATGAAGTTACCCTACTTTATTTCTTTGAGCCTCAATTTCTTATCTATGAATCCCACCTTAAATTTACAAGGTGTTATGAGAAATCTCTTCATGTGTGTGTTTATTATTCAGTAATGGTGGGATTTATTACAGTAATCAGATAAATTGCCTAAATTTTACTTGGTGATATTATATTAAGGAAAATAAAAGAAAATATTAATAGGAAAGGAAAAAATTGACAATAAAAATTATAGTTGAACTTAGTTGAAAATACTCCTTAATTGAAAAATTTTCACAATAAGAATAATCTGCTACATGCTAAATCAGGATATTTCATACTTTGCAGGGACAAATGATTTTAACATCTCTTCTGTTCATGGATTTTTTTTGTTGTTGTTCATGGATATTTTTAAAAACATGATACTATATGCTGATTTCAGACTTAAATTAGAAATACAGGGTGTACAATTAAATTTTTTGAATGAAAGTTTTTTAATAATTAAAAATACTTATTTATAGGCACTGAAAGATAGCACAGAAGTGGAAATCGTGGATGAGAAAATGAGAAAAAAGGTAGAACCAGAAAAATGGCCGATTCCGGGCCCTCCTCCACGGAGTGTGCCACAAACAGACTTCTCTCGACTGATTGATTGCCCAGAGTTCGTACCAGGGCAAGCCTTTGGTTCACATACAGGTAACAGCTTTTCTTCTAGAGCAAGCAACATTAACAGTGGGGTATTTACTCCAATTTACCTATCTTTGTAAAAGTTTATTTAGACTCAGAAAATTAAAGATAATTTAATGTTTTGATGCTTTATATTTTATTCATAATGTCTCCCACAGAAAGCTATAAGTTAAATAGGGATTTAGGAATCATGGGAAGTGCTCTGTTCTATTTATTCTTATTTGTATACTTTGTCATGTTTGGAGTTTTTTTTACCTATCTTAATTTTACTAAATGATTATAGATGTATTCTGCCTGTTTTCCCCTTGTAAGATCGGAATAGTCTTGAAAGTCTTACACTCAAGAGTGGGGATAGCCTTCCTTTAATTTTTTTCCAATGTGCTTCAACTTTGTCCTGAAATCATAAGATGACCTATATTCTAAAGCAAAATTGGGGATCTCTTATTAAGTTATTATAATTATATTTTAAAGAGCTGGTGGTGTTTAGAATTTCCCAAAATTGCTTTAAAGTTAAGAATTTTTTCCTGGATCATTTTTAAGACATTCCCTCTTGGGAAAAAAAATATGTGTGCTTAAACTTTTTTCAGTCAGGGTGATGATCTACTGATGCTCTTGGATGTCATTTCATCGGAATATGCAGAGGAATAGGTGACTCACTGAAATATCATTATAAATGTTGGAACAAATCGTGCTGCAGAAATGAAAGTGACCAGACTTCTCTGCAAGACTGTCTACTTCCACTCCTTGTGGAGGAGGTTGGGCCAGCACTACAATGGAGATAAACACCTTTGTGATGATGATGAAAGACAGACCCAAGAACTGCTGTTGTTTTTATAGGAGCTGCCCATTTGTTTGTAATTAGCCTGGGCTGCATGTGCAACTTTTATTCACGGTGGGAAAGTTAATTATCATTCTGGAAATATTGCAAGATTCTGTCTTTTCCTTCCAGACTTCTGTACTTGTGTCCAGATCAATAAAGCAGAAATAGGCTTGAGTGGAATTTCCTGGTTTGTTAGATCCTTTGCTGTTTTCAGTATAGTGTACATTGTATAACTCACCTATTGTCATAATATTTCACATGAACTATGAGATTTATTAATGTGGACTATTAAGGATAAGAAACCTTAAGAAATGAACAAGTGAATTTTTTTTTATGATATATTTAACCTTATGAACAGGCATTAGGTCAGTTGTAAAATAGAAACAGGGTAGGTAAGATAGTGAAGTTGGTGATGCCTGTCCTTTAATCATTTATGCATTATTAATAAAATTACAAGAATAAAATCAATGTTTGTACATTTTTGTGTTTCTTTAAATATATACTTATTTACATGCATGTACATATTGTCTGAATCAAGTCAATCTGTATAGTTACCCAAAGCTATGATTCAAGGTGGATAAAGATGTCATGCAATAGATATCATTAAATATATATGGTAATTTATCTCTGAAAAGTCATGTTGTCAATTTTCAATTAGGAACAAAATCTTTCTAGGTTCTCACAAATTAGAACCTATTAAGTGTCTCAAACTATGTGTCTAATTTTTGTCCATGAATAAGTGGTATTAATTTCTGGGGGGCCACATTCCTTGGCTTGTTGAGATCTTAGTTCCCCAACCAGGAATTGAATCTGAATGAGAGTGCAGAGTCTGCACAGCCAATGAGTTCCTATAAACAAGTTTAAAGTCAAATAATCCAAGTCATACTCAAACTCATTTGATCTTGGAAGATTAGGGTTTTACTATTACTATTAAATGGGCTTCCCAAGTAAGGGCATGGCAGTCCACTCCATTATTTTTGCCTGGAGAATCCTATGGACAGAGGAGTCTGGTAGGCTACAGTCCATAGGGTCACACAGAGTCAGACACAACTGAAGTGACTTAGCACACACACATTATTATTAAAATTTGCACACACATAGTTTGAAGTCTTTTTTGTAAAAGATGTAGAAAATCATACAGAACGTGTTTTTAGCTTATGTAGTGAACACCCTTTAGAAACTATGAAAGACTTTCTAAGTTTTCTTAACCAAATACTTTGATATTTTAATGTCATTTAACTTATAAGCACATGTGTTGTGAATATTGTGAAACATATAACTTCATAGCAAAAACACTACTCAAGCTTAAAGAGCATTTAGAGATGATTAAATAAAAAAAGTAGGTTTTTACAGGTTTTCTTCAATTTCTGTGTTAAAAATAGTAGATACTGATTTCTCTGCCTTGTGCCAGATACTGTTCTAATATATACATGAACTCTGCATACTAATTTAGTTAATTCTCCCAGTTACTAGAGTGCTGGTTCTTAATCTACTTTGAAAACTTAATTCACTGCATGAATAGAAACAATTCATCATGGCACCAGTAATAGAATTCTCTGAAGTTAATGTTTTTCCCATTTGGTACAACTTTTAATGTTAATACTAACAATCCAAATCTTTTTACTCATACTAATTTTTTGGATCAATTAATTTGTACCATTAAGTTGTAGAGCAGCAGTGTCCAATAGAAATACTTAGTTTGCCACACATGTAATTCTAATAATTTTAATAGCATTAAAAGCTGTAAAACATGAAGTTAATTTTAATATATCCAAATGTTAGAACATTAAGAATTATGGACCAGTGTTATTTTTGTGCCAAGTCTTCGAAATCTGCTGCCTATTTTATAGTTATATCCTGAGCACATTTCAGGAGTAGCCACATTCCAAGTGCTCCGTACATCCATATGACTAGTGGCTATTGTATTGAACAGTGAAGTTTTAGAACCTTTTTTGTTATGAAATAATATGCTTTTTTTAAAAGCAATATAGTAATTTGGTGGTTGAATCTTGGATCTAACTGTGTCCATGGAAATGATAATAAATCCATCTAATTGCCGTATGTAGTAGATGAATGTAAAATTTTGAAATACTCTTCTCAAACTCCTGGCATGTGCCCTTTCGTTTTCATTTAGTAAATCAAAAGGATTGTTGGTATTCATTTATTTCAACTTTTTCTATGTAATATTCTGCTTTGCGATATTTTCAAGGAGTTGGCTTTGAGTAGTAAATAATGCTTAGAAGAAAAATAATTTAAGTCGCTCAGTCGTGTCCAACTCTTTGCGACCCCAAAGACTATAGCCTACCAGGCTCCTCTGTTCATGGGGTTTTCCCAGCAAGAGTACTGGAGTGGGTTTACAGTATAAATTTGCTTCTGAAACATGTTTTTTCCAAAGCAAGTGCATAATGCATTATAACTTCATATTTCACTTTTGAAAAACAATTTTTTATAAAGGAAATTATGATTTGTATTTTATAAAGTATATAATTACTTTCATTAAAATTGTGAAGAGAGGCATTTTAAATTCCAGCAGAATTGTAAAATGTTCTAACTAAATATTATTTCCAGTGCAGTACACTTTAATGATGTGACACATGCTTCTTACAGTATTCAGTTTATTGCATTTAAGTAAACCTTATTAGGAAAAGGAGAAAAGTATTGGCTGCCTTAGTATAGATCCTAGTAGAACCAATGTCATTTGCTTAGTAACATTTTTTGATATTCTTTAACTTCATTGCAGTTAATGAACCTAAGATTTCACAGAGAATTGACTGAAATAAATGTGTTGTCATAATTAGTAAATGAGTGGCATTGATGTTCTTGACAGGTTTGAATGAATGTGTCTCTGTAGGGGTTTTTAACATTGCTGCTGTTATTCATTGGCTTTATTCTACATCTTACAGAGCCCTTTGGTTTTGAACATCATTGAAAGGTTATAATTGAGATTGATTTATCATGTTTTTGTGAAGAAATAAATACCAAGCCCAAGTAAAGAAAAAATGTGTTTTATAAGTAAGTAAACCATTATTTTAACTATAGAACTAACTTAAAATTTTAGAGTCTGCCCCAAATTCTCCAAGAATTGGAAGTCCACTGATCCCAAAGAAAAATGCAGAAACAAGTAATCTTCAAGGAATGTCTAGAGGTTTATCTACCAGTTTGCCCAACTTGGATTCAGAACCTTGGATAGAAGTAAAAAAGAGACATCATCCATCCCCAGTGAAACTGAAGGTAAGTTGTTATGACCCAAGTGAAGTTTGTATTCTATATCCTGAGTGGCTTGTAAGGCCACTGTTTTTGAGGTACATATATAAAATTTGGTAAAGTTTAAAACAGTGGTAAAATTTGGAACCATTGCCCTTCAGTAAAAACTTAGTTTACTAGGTAGTTGAAAATAATTATATTGTATCAATTTTAAAAAATTATCTTATTTCTGAGTATGATTTTGAAATATTCTGCTTTAATCTTTTTACTTGAAATTTGTTTGAATACACTTCAGTTTTTTTAAAGATGACAAAATTTTTCTAAATTTTGAATTTATAACTTTGCCACATTATATGTAACCTTCTTAATTGTAGAATTATTTTACATATAATTATTTGTAAAGAATACATGTCTGGTTTGTTTATGTTTTGGCGATTTTACAGTAAGAAAGGAGAAGAATAAATTTCTTGGAGGCACACAAGGAAGTGAGATGATGGTAGTTAGGGAACAATACGAGAGTTTCTTGCAATAGAACTGCTGTATTGTTGGCTGATGGTTGGATCTGTGAACTTGAAATGTGATAAAAAATGGCTCTGATACAAGCTACAAACACAAATGAGTATGAGTAAAATGGAAATCCTAGTAATATTGATAGGTAACATCAATGTTTCTCTTGTGGTAGTCTGCTATAGTTTTACAGTATGTTAACTTTGGGAGAAAATGGGTTAAAAGTGCACGAGATTTCTGTTTTCTTTTTTTCTTTTTGGCTGCACTGTGGGGCATGTGGAATCTTAGTTCCTCGACCATGGATCAAACCCACAACCCATGCATTGGAAGTGCTGGACTACCAGGGAAGTCCTCAAGATTTCTATTTCTTATAACTATGTGTGAATGTACAATTAACTCAAAGTAAAAAAGCTTACTGAAAAAAAACTTGGTAATAGTACCAGTAAAATAATTCAAATATTCAAAGTAAGCTCTAAAAGGAAGAGGTCACAAAAAATAATGGACCCAAATGTAGGAAGACTGAAGAAGGCTATCATTAATATTAAAGATTACTATGGTAGGGCTCTTTATTCCTAAGATTAAAGCGTGAAGAAAGAAAGCATGAAGGACTTAAGGGTGTTTCTTCATTGGAGGAATGGAAAGGATATTGATATTTCACCTCAGCATAAGATGTTTTGCAATGTCTGGAGACAGTTTTTGGTTGTTAAATCTGAAAGTGCTACTGCATCTTATGAGAGTGAAGGCCAGGGATGCTATTCAACATCCTATAGTGCATAGGACACCTCCACCTCCACCACACATCCTAAAGAATTATCAAACCCAACATGTCATTAATGCTGAGTTTAAAGCCCTGATCCAAGATAACTTTGTACTTAGTTATTTGCCATTTTTTTAAAAAATTGAAATACATTTAATTTACAATGTTGTGTTAATTTCAAGAGTGCAGCAGAGTGGTTCAGTTTATATATATATATATACATATATATATATGTGTATATATATATATGTGTGTATATATATATATATATCCATTTTCAGATTTTTTTCCCATTATAGGTTATTACAAGATACTGAATATAGTTTCCTGTGCTATGCAGTAGGACTTTGTTGTTTATCTATTTTATACGTGTGTGTACATGTGCTTGCTTAGTCCCATGGAATTTTACAGGCAAGAATAATGGAGTAGGTTCCCATTTCCTGCTCCATGGAGGAGATCTTTCCAACCCAGGGGTTGAACCTGCATTTCTTGTTCCTCCTGAATTGGCAGGCAAATTCTTTACCACTGTGCCACCTACAGGATTGTGTATGTTGACACCCAAATTCTAATTTATCCTACCCCAACCCCCACTGTCCCCTGTGGTAACCATAAATTTTTTATGTCTGTTAGTCTTTTCTGTCTTGAAAAGATAGCTTTTAAATTAGCAATGGTGTTTAAACTCAGCATACTTAAGGTTTTCTTCCTTGGGTTATTTTAAAAGCCTAATGCAGCTTCTCAAAATAAGATTTTTTTATTAATTCATTTTAATTGAAGGCTAATTACTTTACAACATTGTGGTGGGTTTTGCCATACATTGACATAAATCAGCCATGGGTGTACATGTGTCCCCCCATCCTAAACCCCCCTCCAACCTCCCTCCCCATCCCATCCCTCTGGGTCGTCCCAGTGCACTGGCTTTGAGTGCCCTGTTTCATGCATCGAACTTGGACTGGTGATCTATTTCACATATGGTAGTATACATGTTTCAATGCTGTTCTCTCAAATCATCCCACCCTCAGCTTCTCCCACAGAGTCCAAAGTCTGATCTTTATATCTATGTCTCTTTTGCTGTCTTGCACATAGGGTTGTCGTTACCATCATTCTAAATTCAATATACTTGCATTAATATACTGGTGCTTTTCTTTCTGACTTACTTCACTCTGTATTATAGGCTCCAGTTTCATCTACCTCATTAGAACTGATTCAAATGTGTTCTTTTTAATAACTGAGTAATATCCCATTGTGTGTATGTACCACAACTTTCTTTTCCATTCGTCTGCCAATGGACATCTAGGTTCCTTCCATGTCCTAGCTATTATAAACAGCACTGCAATGAACATTGGGGTACACGTGTCTCTTTCAGTGTGTGTGCCCAGCAGTGGGATTGCTGGGTTGTATGGCGGTTCTATTTCCAGTTTTTTAAGGAATCTCCACACTGTTCTCCATAGTGGCTGTACTAGTTTGCATTCCCACCAACAGTGTAGGAGGGTTCCCTTTTCTCCACACCCTCTCCAGCATTTATTGTTGGTAGACTTTTTGATGGCAGCCATTCTGACTGGTGTGAAATGGTACCTCATTGTGGTTTTGATTTGCATTTCTCAAATAATGAGTGATGTTGAGCATCTTCTCATGTGTTAGCCATCTGTATGTCTTCTTCGGACAAATGTCTGTTTAGTTCTTTGGCCCACTTTTTGACTGGGTCATATATTTTTCTGGTATTGAGCTGCATGAGCTGCTTGTATATTTTTGAGATTAATTCTTTCTTTGTTAGTTGTTTTGTTTGCTATTATTTTCTCCCATTCTGAAGGCTTTCTTTTTCACCTTGCTTATAGTTTCCTTTGTTGTGCAAAAGCTTTTAAGTTTAATTAGGTCCCATTTGTTTATTTTTGTTTTTATTTATATTACTCTGGGAGGTGCGTCATAGAGGATCTTGCTGTGATTTATGTCTGTATGTGTTCTGCCCATTTTTTCCTCTAGGAGTTTTATAGTTTCTGGTCTTATATTTAGATCTTTAATCCATTTTGAGTTTATTTTTGTGTATGGTGTTAGAAAGTGTTGTAGTTTCATTCTTTTACAGGTGGTTGACCAGTTTTCCCAGCACCACTTGTTAAAGAGATTGTCTTTTCTCCATTGTATATCAAAAAGAGATTTTTCTAAAGATCCTGATTAATTTCTGTATTTGTCATGGTGAACCTGGATAACTTGGAAGGATCATACCCTGGACTCATTGACAAAAATTTGTACCATATTTCATTTATTCCAAGATCTACATTTTTTCCGCCACATTAAAAAAACTCTTTAACCCCTACTTTTTTGGTCTCTTCCTCATAAATTATTAAAAAATTTATATATAAAATATAAGTTTATATATAACTGTTATCAAATAACGAAAGACTCTCCTTGCTTTATCATTATTCACAGTTTGATGTTTTTCTAAGACTTTTTTCATGTTTTTGCAAATGTGAATAATAGGATATGTACTTTTTGTTTTTAGTTATATTCACAGTTTTAAAGCTTACTTTTTTAAAAAAAGTAAAAACTTCTGTTTACTAGAATGTTAGCTCCATCAAGGCAGAATTGTTGTTACATTAATTGTTATAATCTCCTACCTAGAACAGTACCCAGTTCACAGTGAGGACCCAGATAATTATTGACCAAATGAATGAATATAGATTCACATGAATAGGAATTTTGGAGAGAATAATTGTCTTATTCTAGGGATAGGTGAATTAGCATTTACTGAAGGATAAGGCTTGATCAGAGCATGGCATTGGAAGATGAGAACATTGAAAAATCTATTTCTTTGTGTTGAGAGTTTGAAAATCTATATTAAGTTAGGCTTTAGAGGATCTAGAATCTACAAATTTGGACTTTATATATGTTACCCAACAGTAAGCTATTTTACATTTTTCATGAGGGTGGAAATTCAACAATTCGGTGAGTGTTAGTGAATTTAACATGAAATTTTGAGGTAAAAGGATTGAGGATAGAGAGGACTGAATCTGGAAGTCCGAAGACCTTATTTTTTTCTGGGAATACCTCTGAAGTCCAGTGGTTAGGGCTCTGCTCTTTCACTGCTGGGGGCTTGAGTTTGAACCCTAGTCTGGCAACTAGGATCCCACATGCTGTGCTACAAGACGACTTTGGTTGTTCTAGTTCGTACTAATAGACTAATTTTGAGATTGTGGACCAACAATGTCACATTTATAGGCCTTTTCTTCCCTAATCCATAAAATAAGTTAGTATGCTGTAATGAATGTGCTAAGGACCATGCTAATTTTAGAGGAGTTTTTATATAATCTTTCTTTTATTCAGTTTTGTGGGGTTTTTTTACTCTTGAACTTAGTATTTAGCAATTGCTTACTATTTATTGGGCCAGAATAATACTGGCATGATTTTCTTTTCCCATTTGACTGTTAATCCAGTTATTGAACAGTCTTGATATTACTTACATTAACATTGTTACACAACATTCATTATAAAAGTGATAATAATGTTTTTATATAAAATACCAATTCCTTCCTCTAGGAACCACCATCTCTTCCTGAAGAGGCATCAAATCAACTATATCTTCCAGATGAACAAGAACAAGAAGAACTTGATTTTTTCTTTGATGAAGAGATGGAACAAATAGAAGGTCAAAAAAACACATTTACTGATTGGTCTGATAATGATTCAGATTATGAAATTGATGATCAAGATTTAAATAAGATTTTGATTGTAATTCAGACACCTCCTTACATGAGAAAACATCCTGGAGGAGATCGAACAGGCAGCCACATGTCTCAAGCAAAAATTACATCTGAACTTGCTAAAGTTATCAACGATGGTTTATATTATTATGAGCAGGATCTGTGGATGGAAGAAGATGAAAACAAACACACAGCCATAAAGGTAATTGTTTATGGCCAACATCTTTCTATTGATACTTTGTTTTGACTGCATGTTGCTGCTTAGGTTTTCCTAAACTTGAGACCTTATTTTATGAAATTTTGAGTATAAATAAATTATATTTAATTTGAAAAACTCCTAGAAATACACATGATATTTACAATCTAAAAAAGATATTTTATTAAAATGACAGTGAAAAACAAAAAAAAATGACAGTGATTAAGTGCTTTCATTACCAAAAAATATTAGCACTCCTTGATTAAAAAAATCCTTCCTTTTTTTCAGGTGAAAGTAATAAGAAGGCCTTTTCTCATTAGAAAAAAATAAAAACTAAAGTCATGGACTGGCTTAGTTTATATGCTGTTTACATATGTGGCTATAGTCACTCCAGCCTTGTGAGCAGGGCTTCAGAAAGTAGTTAGTTTGGTTGCCCTTTGTGTGCTTCCTCACCTTAGTCTATGGTGTATGTTCTGTGACAGTGGAACTCCTTGTTGACAAGTAGACAAGATTACACTGACTGTCTTTCCTTGTTGATCATTACTTTGTTGCAGGACCCTTTGTTTGAAAGTTTGATCCAGTTTTTCATCTTCTTGCATTTCACCCAACCTCTTGGTACATACCCCAGTTACTAAGATAAAACTTGAGAGTCTAGAGTAGTCTACTGGTTGTCTGCGTTCCTTTTATATGACTTTAGTGGTATAGATAGGGATTTAAAAGGATCTTTTTCTGCCATTAAATTGATTAGAAAATTCCCCAAAATTAAATATTTGTTTTGAGGTTAGAATAATGAGGAAAAGTTGTATAATATGCCAAATAGGAAAGAGATTTTAGAAATAGAGTTTTAGACAGAAAAGCCAGCCAACTCATGGTTGAACAGAAGGGAATGGCTGTCTGTGAAGCTTCATATCATCAAGAAGTGTGCTTTCCTTCTCAGTTCTTCTTCCTGGAATTTCCATCACTGCTTTTATCCTCTTGTCTCACCACTGCCTTTTTGAAGATCCTGCCTCAGGATATGGTAGCTTGTCAGTAACTTGGAACCTGAGCAGTTCTCACAGTCCTACTGCTATGGGAAAGGAAGTATGTTTTTATAAAGTTTCTTGGTTGAAATCTTAACTTGTATAAGAATTGTTACATTATTTGTGATACTTAGGTTCTGTAAGTAACATCTAACTTTAATCCTTTTGGGAACAGCAAGAGATAGAAAATAAACTTACCATAGGTTAAGATTGCCCTACCTTCATTCCCTACTTCTCTAACCCTGCTGTTCTGTGTATCACACTTTTGATCATGTGAATGTCAGATCTGTGGGGATAGGGATTTTTGCCCTGTTTTTTGGATAGCCTTATCTCCATTTGTAGCACAGTTGTTACAGTTCCTGACACAAAGTAGTACTCAATTCATATTTGTTAAAATGGATAATGAATTATAAATTAAATGTTATAAACTCACCAGAAGAACCTAACCTCTGTGTATAATGTTGGTTTTAAGAGAAGATATTTTCAGAGGTCCAGGTAATGAAATTTCAAGTCATCTTGAAATATATGCTCTTGGTAGGTGACTGTTTGCTTGAAAGTGTAGACAGCAATAATTAAATTCAATTACCTCATCTGTTGCCTTAGCCAAAAAATATTGGTCCAGGGAAAAAAGTCTTAGCTATTTGGTTCTTAAGCATTATGGGTTTGTTCATAATTATGTCTTACCTAATCCCTAGTGTTTAACTTATTTCTCTCTTCTCTAATTCTGTGCTCAGCATATACTTTCTCATGAGAATTGTACTTCTTCTGTGGGTCTGTATAGAGGGAGAGAAATTAATTATTTAATTATTTATTACTCTTACTGTGTGTATGTGACACCATGTTAGGTACTGAGCATGAAATGGGAAAATAACAGTAGGATCTCTACATGCTATTCTTACATATACCTGGGACAGTAGACATTAAAATAAACCACAGTAAGTACCTGATCACAAATTAAGGTACTGTTGAATTAGGCTATAAGGGAATGCCTATGAGAAAGTCACAGTTATAGTGAGATAGAAAGTATAAGTAAAAATGAACCATGCAAATAACAGATAAACCATATTCTAGGAAAGGGGAATAACGGGTGTCAAGGATATGAGATGGGAAAGAATTTGGTATATTTGAGGAACTAGAAACAGTGTTTATAGTATTTATGCAAGAGAACAGTTATAGATATATAGGCATGTATCTGATCATAGAAGGTAACATATGGGCTTTTGGAATTTACCTAGGTAAATTGGAATTTACCTAAAGTTCAAATGGAGTACCTTGAAGAATTTTATACAGGCGACAGCATGTGATCTAATTTTTATTTTAGAAATACCATTTTGGTTACTATGGATTAGATGGGGACAAGAGTGGCAGATGAAATTCAGTTGGGAGTCTATTAAAGTAGTCCAGAGGGTGTATGTTGGTAATTTAAGATAAATTGGTGGCAAAGGAAGTGTAGAAATTAGATGACCCAGGTCTGAATCTTGAGGAAGGACCATTTAGGAGTTGTATAGGAAACTGGTGCTGTGGAAGCTGAGTACTGTCTTCATGAGGAGAGAATAATCAGATGTGCTGGAAGCTGGACAGATTGAGTTTAGGGATGAGTGAAAAGAATGCCAAATTGGTAGGGTTGTTTGGTGATCATTTCTGACTTTGTGAAGGGAGTTTTGCTGAATCCATAAGCTATGTTGAAGTGCATGTACCAAAGAGTAGGTATAGGCCTTCTGTTTCTGACATGTCCTTATTGCTAAAGACAGTTAAAATGGCCTGTTAATAAATGAGAAAATATGAACTTAAAATCCTTGCAGATCTGAAAGGTAAGTTATCATAATAAAACCATAGAGAAATAGAGGATTAAAACCAGTTTTGCCTGGGAGAGCATTTTGAAGTTTGGATAGTTTGCGAAGTTCAGCTTTGCAAAAGCCACCCAAAACATAGAGTAAAAGACAAACTTGTGGCCTAGCCAGAGTCAGGATTCTAACAGGAGTCCCTTCCCCTGTTGAATTGGTACCCGAAAAACTATACCCTAGTGAAAGGGAACGTAACTGCTTTCTCATCTGCTTCTCTCGAGGACTACAAAGCATATTTCCTTAGTTGTGCTGAGCAAGGTATCACATGTGAGAATGAACAGAAGTAGCAAACAATAAGCCCATACCCTGAAAAAATTTAGGTAGTAGAATTATTAAGCATAGTATAGAGTAACTATACTTACTATGTTTAAAGAATATCTGCAGGGAAGAAGAAATTCTAAAGAATAACCTTTGTAGAACTTCTGGAAGTAAAAGCAGTTAAAGACTGAAATTAAAAACTCAGTTAATTAAAGGGATTAACAGCAGATTAGATACAATTAAAGAATCAGTGAACTGGAAGATAGGTTACAAGAAAGTATTCAGAAATCAACAAAGAGATAAAATGTATGAAAGGGAATAGAATGGTATTCTAGAAAGTTGTTGCTATTATTTGGTATATTTCAAATCTAGTTGTGTAAGTTAACATTTAATGGATTTTATTATAAATCTTTTTATTTTTGAGAAAAGTAAAAAGCAAGTGGAATATAGAGTGAAAAACATGGTCTAAGATAGATATTTATTCAGAGTTTCAGAAGGAAAGATAGTAAATGGGACAGAGTCAGTGTTTTAATAGGTAATACCTAGGACATTTTCTGAACTGCAGAGAAGTACCAGAGTAGAGTAGCCAGGGAAAGAGTGGTTACTTTAAAGAAGAGTGGCTGGACAGCTAACTGACAGCTAACTTCTCACCAGTAACATTTGAATGCAACAGGCCATGTAATGATGATGTTAATATAGCAAGGGAAAATAACTACCAACACATAATTGTATGTCTTGCAAAAATATCTTTCAAGTAAGAGAGTGCAATATAAGAGAAATTGCAAACAGCAGAACCTCATCAAAGAAATTTCCAAAATTGAAACAAAAGTGATTCCAGATGCCAGAGGTACAGAAAGGAGTATAGAGCAAAGCAAGTGATAAATAGGTAAATAAACCTAAATAAATATTAACTATATAATAACTGTGTATTATAGATTAACATTAACACAAACTGAGAGAGAATACTTAAAGATACTTTTGTGTCTGAAAATAAGATAATTGATTATTTTTCAGTTTTAAAAGTTATTATTTTTCAGTTTGAAGGATACCCATTTAAAAATAAATGTCTTAATAGGATGCTGGTTAGAATGTAATATGGTTCAACTATTTTTGAAAGCAATTTGGCAGTTCTCAAATTGTTAAACAGAGTTATTATATGACCCAGGAATTCTACTCCTAGGTATATACATGAGAAAAATGACAACATATGTCTACACAAAAACTTGTACATAAATCTTCATTCCAGCATTATGAAAGTGAAAAGAACTCAAATATTCTTTGTCTGATGAATGGATAAATAAAGGTTGTATAGCCATACAATGGAACATTATTTGGCAATAGAAAAAAGTGAATTTACTGATAATGCTACATGAAAACATCATATTGAATAACAGAAGCCGGTCACAAAGTAGTACCTATTATATGATTCTCTTCATCTGAAACCCAAAACAGAGAGAAATTAACTTGGTGGCTGCTTAGGGTGGATTTTGGGGTGGGTAAAGAAAATAGTGACTGCTAGTGTATCCTAGAGTAAACTCCAGGAGTTGGTGATGGACAGAGAGACCTGGTGTGCTGTGATTCATGGGGTTGCAAAGAGTCGGACACAACTGGGTGACTGAACTGAACTGAGTGGATACTAGGTTTATTTTTGGAGTGATAAAAATGTTGAAATATTGATTGTGATGGTGGTTGCAAAATTGTACACTAAAAACAATTATACACTGGGATAGATTGTACCATATTTGAATTTTATCTTAATAAAAAGATTTTTAAACAAGTAAATGGAAAGACATCCTGTGTATATGGATTAGAAGTCAGTACTACCTAAAGTGATCTGCAGATTCAGTGTGATCCCTGAATGACAGTTTTTGCAGGAATAGGATAA